TCTTTTTCTGAGATGTTCCGTGCACCAACCAAGCCATTAATTGAAGATCTGCAACGAAAGGAGAGCTTTTGCCACTCGCAGCTGTTCGTTGGATAATTTCCAGACGCCAAAAGACTCGCTGCCAATGCAGGATACCGGATATGTCCTGGCATCGCCGTGGACGATGGCGGCGACTGCCGCAAATCACTGATGGCGGGATGGGCAGCCATGCGCCATCTCCACCGGCTGTCCATGGCGATGGGTGCCGACCATTGCGCTAGAGCCTGAGCGAGGCTGACAGCTGTACCCTTCCAATGCGCTGAAGTCCATAAAAAGGGGCAGCGCATGTGTGTCGGGCAATCCCCGACCCGGGTACCCAATTTCCGGGTAGCGGGGGATGCCCTGGAAGGGTCCAATTTCTGGATTGGAGTAGCGCAGGTCCAAAGCATTGCAAAATGCGGTGTGTTTACCGGTTCCGTCTGATTTTTGGGCAGCAACCAATGCATGTATGTTAGGTACTTTATCCAATTTCGAAGAAAAAGTAATCGAATATTCGATACGAATGCGGCCTCCCAAAAAATATATATTTTTCATTGAATGTAGGACAGAGGGAGTAGCAATAATGCCATGAGGGCAACTTTGTCCCCCTTCTGTTCGGCGCCGTGTGGCCGCTGTTGGCGCATAGTAGCATCGGCCACGGAGTTGAAATCAAACATGTCGAGACAACGCAGCATCGAGCATGAAGTTATCCCTGGCATTTTCTCATAAAAATGTGACGCTTTTCATATTATAGGACATAGTAGAAACGGGCGTGTTGCAGCGGCATTGCGAAAGCATGTGAGCAAGCTGTGCTTGCTGCCATGGACGCAGTCTTTTAAGGCGCTTCGCTGGTTCGTCAATTCTTGACAGATTTTCACCTGCGGCCCAGAAAGTGGCCATTCTTCTCAAGCGGGAAAGAATGGCGACCGAAAGCGTTGGCCCATATCCCTGCACATAGGTCTTGCTGCTGCTGACTGGCTGGGCTTGCACCGTGTTACAACAATCACAATGGGCAATTTCGAGTATGCCTGGAAAATCTTTCCTACTGATGTATCAATGTTATTGTTTTTTGTATTCCCGTGTCAACTCTTGTGGCCTGCACATACGAATCTGCAGTATGGCGATGAGGGTCAGGTACATAAGGGGATCCGGGCATCCCCAGACCTGTCCATACCGCTTTGGAGTGGCGGTCGGAATGATTGCATTGGGAAGAACCACGTCTTCAGTACTGGGGGTCCCCACATTCGCGGCAAGCTTCCAAAATTTCACTGAACATCTGTAACGTGGTTGCGTTGGCGAAACGCAAATATTTTTAAGCGTGCACATGTGTATACTACATGTGCATACAGTGTGTGTAGTATGTAACATGAATACGAAGATTACATACGATGCAGTGAACGCATGTGGCAAGCTTATTCACGACCGTGGCAGAAGCACAAGACTTGCATCATTTGTGAAAAGCGAAACAGGAGACAACATTCGAGCCGCCTAAGAAACGACCTGCGGCATTGAAGCCGTGCAACACATGGGCGAGATCAGAAGAAAACGTCGCTCTGGTGATACAACCGCGAAGCGCCTTCTCACATGGCAACTAGTGTAAAAATGCTGGTTGACGCCATCTTGATGGAAGTTATTCTGATGCCACCATAATCATAGTGATGTCCCCATTTAGTTTTAAAATGACATGCAGAAATGCAGACGGTCTGTCCACGAATTAGTGGATGGATCTTAGCTAGTTCCCGGACACGGATGGACGATAACACCACCATCAGTTGATTCCTGGACAGATTATCCGTCTACAAATCAACGCGATGCTAAAACTATCGCCGTATCTGCGAATTTTCGCAGGCGCGACGGATCGCTCCCATGTGTTAATTACGGGAGGGTTTGTCTGCTCGAAAACTGCAAAAACCTTGCGCCATATGGCCTTGCCAAAATGGCGCTTTCAACTAGCGCATGGTGCTGCTTGGCAAGGCGCAGCTGGGCGGCCAAGAGGGTCAGTCTGCACAGGGCTCATCATGCCTCATTTGCAAGTTGCATGCTCCATCTTGAGGGTTGTCGCCCTCATCCCTGATTTCATCAAATTGGAAGCCACATGCGCACATTCCGGCATCCCCGCGACCTTCCGCCCAGGTCACGCCTGGCAGGCGGGCACGCCTCTGGCGGGGCTGCTGCTGTGGTAGCAAATCGTAGCCTTGCCCGTTCCAATGTTTGTCTAATCGCTTCGACACACGGAGTGGGGAGGAGCGCTGCAGCCAGCGCGCAACCCATCCGCGCAGAGCCAAGCGACAGTGCCGTGTCGTTGAACAGGGCAGCTGATGGCGTCTGTGCACTCTGCCTCACGAAGAGTTCAGGATCTAACTGCGGTGGCTTGCTGGAGGCCAACTCTTGAGCGAGCGCCCTGCAAGGAAACGGCGTTGGGCGCCACAACTGACGGATGTCGTGGCGCAATGGGGAAGCAGTCGGTCGTTGCTGCCGAGAGGACAAGCCCAACGCCCAATGTGCGCGCTGCCCTCATGCCACCCCTGCGAATCAAAAGTCAGGGCGGCTAGCGAACTCTCTCGAGTCCCAAAGGCATCCGTGATTGCAGGACTCGCCCAGCGCCGGCCGACATTTGCGTGGTGCTGCCGGCCACGACAGTACCATATGGTACTGATATTGATGCGTCAACCAAAAGCATGTGAGCCTCAAATGGTTTGCGCGTACCAGCCTGGGCGATGCAGCTCCAAAACTGGAGCCGACGACTCAGGACGTCCTTTCTCAAGAACGCTCCGTTCTGAAGGCCCCCAACTGCTGTCCCTTTCCGGCACGGAGGTCATTTGCTCGCTACCACGGCAGTCCGGTAGGTTTTCTCCGTTTTTCTCCTTTTTTTCCGTCAGTTTCGCAGAACATCATTGAGTAGACTACTGTAGTCCCACTTCCCTCGACAAGCTGTTGAACAGCGCCTTGCCAGGGCATCTGTGGGTACACTTAGAGGTCCAGCACCCCAGGTAGCTGGCCATACTCCGCACATAACGGACATAACCCGTCGCACGTGTTTCGTTGTCCGTAATTCCACGTCCTCAGGGCATTGGATGACACAAGGGATACCAAACGTCGGCGAGCCCCAGTCAAACTTGGAGTGCGCACCTCGCCGTACAGAAAACTCACGTGGCTTGGAACAGCAACGACTCAAGTCTCCCTCAGAAAGGAAAGCATCGAGGGAGCATTTCTAATGTCAGAGCATGCATGGGGTGGTTTCTCCTGTGATGTTGAGGCAGCCCTGTGGGGTAGTATCTTATCTGTGTGGGCTATCTTTGGATGTGCCTTACTTGCTCCACTATCTTTGGTAGCCTGCTGCAACTTGGCTTCGCGTGGTTGCTACAACCGAGAGATGGCCCCAAAGAGGATCCGGCTATCCACCCATTGGTTGAAACTCTGGTCTGAAATGTTCATGCATCCCGACAGAAAATCACCTCAGAAGTCTACCTATGGAACTTTTGAGACCACCAGATTGATATGTACATTTTCGGAATTGTGGAGCACAGGTTGGTACCTTCATAGTGGGTCCCCAGGTTGTCTGAAAGTAATGGTGTGTCATCTGTCGTTCCTCTCTAGGTCAGCTGTGTTGACTTCAGCTGGCCATTTTGACACAATGTTGACTGTAGGTAGCCATGTTTTGTGGCCCCTGGATATCTCCATACTTCCCATGACATTGTCAGTGGCACCCGGGTGATGCACACGTGCCCATTGCCACATGATCTTGATCCATGGGGCAAAACATGGCTGCGTTGTTATGCGGGACCGTGTGGATCTCTGTGCTCAAGGGTTTCGCCTTGGAAGGGTGAAAGTCCTTGTGCAAAGCAGTCACCCCAATAGGCACAACGATCTACATGGTGGCAAGGAGAATGTTGCTCCTCTTGGAAGGCAATTCTGTGGTTGTGTGTTGGAGTTACTGTGGTATGCGCCCCACATTTCGTTGCAAATCAGACGAGGTGATGTGCGCTTCTGTTGCAGTAACCTAATTGGCCTTTTTGATCTCATTGATTCCTCTGTTGGCAGCTTCAATTTGCTGATCAGCATGCATGAGCCACAAGATTTTCTGTCTCTCAAGATATACGCGGCCCACCAACCATTTATCTGAACAAGGTAGGTGCCATAAACAGCAGGTGTATGTATGTAAACATATTGTATGGCTGTTGTTGCATTGCCACTTCATCTTCAGCATGCCGCATCGGACATGTCTAGCGCTTGTGGCATGGCCAGACAACACGATCGCCCACTCTGCAGCTCACTTACGCGAATTTCGCTCTGCAGAAGCAAATTGTCGATTGCCACATGCACATGAATTTTTAGTTGTCCCCAACGCTAATGCACACATCGACGATCATGGGCATTATATCAATGTTAATTGGCCACTCTTGGCACAGCAAGGTTTGCGTGCCAGCGCTCATGATGTTTGTTGTCTATGGTACTCGTTTTTGCTTCTGGGCTGGTACAGGAACGCGTACTCGGTGGGTGGGTGGGTGAGTTTTGACATAACTGCTATTATTTCATGAAGAAATTCCACACCGCAAGCATCAAGAAAGTGTGTTCGGAGTCCACAGTGGTGTGATGCAGGATCAGGATCAAGTCCATGAGAAACTTCGCCCCAAGTTGTTCAACACTTGCAAACTGCACACGGTCGCCAGCAGCTTACATTTTGCGGCTTGGGAGTCATGCAATACACGCAGACTGGGCTGCCACAGGTACGGCGGCAGCACCATCAGCATCACAGTCGAGGTCTTCCCTGGCACAATCGTTACCCATGCCCAAGCTGTCACTTGCTCTGTGCCCGCAAACTGCAAAAGATGGTCTTGTAGTTTTCAGTTTCGGATCCGTGTAGCACATGCACATTGGCACCCTCGCAGGTGCGTAGAGTACACACTGATGCACTCTAGTCCACGTACATGGGCAGAATCTTCATGCTTTGTACTCTTACTCAAATGAATTTGGTTATACAACTATGTGAAGACGCCGATGCCATATCCCGTGATGTTGGCCAGGCGCTCCATTGTTATTCTGAGGTCACCGATGTTCTCAATCTTCTCCTTAATGCTCTTTCTGATTGTGTGTTCTCGATCTGTAACGTGGGCGTCGATCTCGTACTTGTGGCGATCTTCCTCTGGCATCTTGTTCAAATTAAATTTCCTTGCAACCTGGGAAATGCCATCGACATATCATTATATTCTTTGCATTCGCAGTAGTTGAAGCGCCAAATGCAAATCAGCATCAATTTTAAGTTGATTCTTATTAGATTCCTCTTGATTCTAAAATTGAGCAAAATCAATACCACCTTGACCAGAATGACATCTTCGAGGTTGTGAGGATGGGAAAGTACAAATGAAGGACAGGTGAAATTGTGGGCGACAACTCGTCGAACACATTCGGATCAGGATGCTTAGAGAATTGTTGTTAATTGGGTCGCGTTCAGCGTCCAGCAGTCCATGCTTCGCAGAGAATGTCCCACAGTCAGTCGTCCACACGTTGCTGCACATAAAATGGGCACTGGTTATTGGCAGTTCACATTCTTCCCAAGTCATATTGCTGCTCATGATGCATCTCTGGGCATTGACGCCTGCGGACTTGAGCTGTATTGCTTGGAAGTATTATGGAATATGTGACGTACAATTCATATTCCCAAAGTTCGGTGATTGCTCTGCCGCGTACAATTGTAAGCAATTCTGCTCAGACTTGTTGTTAGAAATTGTGCAACACAGAATCTAGAGATAGGCACATGCATCACTCACCCGCAATAGTTCATCTTGGCCATACATATGAGACAGGCCAAGGTGGGAGTACACTTGTCCCATTGCCCCATCGTAGTCCTTCTGCAAGTCTTCATATCGCACGTTGAGCGCCCAGGCCTTGCCTTCAAGGTCCCTGTAGTTTCGGACGCCTCTATAGATGTCATCAGCTGCGGAATGAAATTCGACCAAAAGGCCGTGATGCACTTCCAACGACTGCAGTGCCTGATGCACGCAGCAAAGAAACACAATAGTCAGGATTGCCGGCTGGAAATGCGAGGACCAGCAAAGCATCGGCCGCATGGTGCTTTGTTTTCAGCAAGACACTGGTAACGTAAGAGTCATGCGCTTGCCCTGAAAGCATGTTGTACGAAAGAATACCGCTAAGGCCACCAAATGAAATGACAACTGAGTTGCGTCCCATTCAACGTGTCACAAAGCTCCAAATTTCTGTCGCCGCTGACGTCGACAGGAGAATCGCCTGTGCAAGGTTGCAGCCGCTGCAGGCCATGCCCTTGCATTCTGGAACGGCGCCGTTTGGGCCGTTTTGAACCATCAACCGTTGCCCGATACTGACCTTGTAGAGCGGCGAATCCGAATGCTTTTGCTGGACATCTTCAGGTAGGATGCTGAGAGCGGCGGGGTTGGGCTCATGCAGCCACTGCTCGGTGCCTCGGCGATGGTACAGGTATGACGAAACCAGAATGTCCACTGGGTTCCTCACAACGTGAACAACAGGTAAGTGGGGATCCTCCTGCGTGGGCATGAATGCGTCGGATGTTCAGCACAGATGTTTTCACACCGGCAGTTATGAAGTATTTGACGTGACCCCTTAGCAGTGCGCTTTCGGCGACTATTGAGAGGGAACCGAATGACTAAGCAGCTGTTGATGCGGGCCATGTAATTTAAGACAGCATGTCGGCAGTTGGAAGGAGAAAGCAAAATTTTCAACGTAGCAAACCAAAATGCGAAGAAGCGTTGTCCATATTTGCGACAGATGATTGAGCCATGTGAATGGCTTCAGCGCGTTTTGATGATGTACAGTTTATTGTTGTGCAGATTGAATATGAAAAGAGGCAGTACGGGAATTTGAAACCATTGTCGTTTCCAGATTCGAGACCAACGGGATAACGCCAAAGATTCATCCGGGCTGCCCCCAAAATCAAATTTATTTGACAAAATGAATGCATTATCACCACGAATACAATGATTCTTGGAAAACGTATAGCGCATTGTATATAAATTACGACGAAACGTACATGTCAACAATTATTCTGAAGCAGTGGACGATATGCAATGTTTGTCTGCAGTTCCGTCATCCGCATTTTTACACTGCACATTATACTGGCGTCCAAGCACATGCGGACTGCTACTACGCCATACTTTGAGAATGGTCCCCTTGTCCCTCGCGCAACCTCCTGCGATGCCCCGCTGCATGCCGCTCGCGCATACCGGTTGGTATTTACGTGCACCTACCTGTGCCGTTTCTTCCTGATTATTCAGGCTGCACGCGCTCAGCCAGCAGTCGACGTCAAAATCATGGCAATAGTAGGACGGCTGAGGGCCTTCAGGGCAGTCCTCGGCGTATCCATGCATGCCCACCATGACGCGATGGTGGGAATCGTACAAGGCGACGTATTTGCGCGACTCTGTTTCGTTGGGACTTGACAGCGAAACGGCCTCTTCCAGCAGCTGGAAGTCCAGACGAAACTCTTGGCATACGTCCCCAGTCGTGTATGAAAACAGCATGGTGCCTGTTCGGTGGTGCGTTGCCAGAACCCCCACGGCCGGTTTCTTGCGGAGAGAGGAGACCGCCTGTTCTCCAAACTTGGCTTCGGGATCTTTTGGTAGTACGAGCCTGCATAGAAGATGCCGAGGTTGGAACGCCATAGAAGGAAAGACTGCGGTGAGCTAAGCAAGAACATCATGAAAAACTTATGCGTTGTTAAATTGTGCAATGTGTCAATAGATTTGTCCACCATCAGAAATTTTATGCGTAGGAAGGGAGAGTTGCGCGAAAGCGGTACCCACCCAATGGTCACTCGTTCACAGCTAGAGCATTGCAGATCTACGGAAAATTTCAATTCATGTTGCGTTTGATTGTCTCTTATGCAATGTGGACACAGAGCCATGTTGAAGGGTTTAACCAAGTCGGCATGTAACATTTCAGGGAAGCAGATGCAATGAGCCTCGACGCTCGCAACTGAGCCAAGAAACAATCAGCTCACCGGTGCTGGTTTGGGGACTGCGTTGCTGCCTGACTCAGAACGTGAAGGGCCACAAATGCAACCATGAAGGCCGACAGCATGCATGCTGCACTCAACCGCAACTTGCATATGAAGATCGGCTTGAAGCAGCAGTTCCACGCCGAGTGAAGGCAAGAAGGGGAGGCGCCGCTGACTGAAACTTCAGAGGATCGTCTCTCCACCAGCCGCGGAGACAGTGACGGCCTGCTTTCTGGTGTGCTTGCCGCTGTCTTGCAACTGTCTACCCTGGCAAGCCCCTGCTCCATCTCATCCTGCGGAATGCCGCCGTAGTCACGCCCCCTCTGCTTCATGACCTGGAGCACTTCGCCAATTGCCGTTCAGCCGCTGCAACCATCCGACATCTTGGGAGCAAAGATACTGTAGCCAGTGCTTATTTGAAATTGCATGTCGTGTGGTGATGTGCACCCTATGTTACCCTGAGCCTTTACTGGTGCGTACCAAAGGCAGCTAGATGCAGATAGCGAGTCCGGAAATAGCTCCCCTCCTTACAAAACCTTGCATTTGTTTAACGAAACTGCCTTTAGTTTACGAGCAACGCCAATTCGGCGCACCAAGCAGTAATTACTGTGTGGTGTGTCGAATTGGTACAACCTTGCACAAGATTTGTAAAGCTTGAATTGACAGGTCAACTCCGAGCGACAGATAGTACACAAATAGATATTGCGATTTCCTACAAGCTGCATCAGCTTCGAATACTGCATGATCGCGCGTGCTTTCTTGCAAATGTCACGGAATTCTTCAGACGTACCCACGGAAGGGAACGGTCTCTTTGTGAGTCTAGATAGACATATATGGCTTCCTCCTCAAATCTCTGTGAAACGAAGGAAGAATAGAATACACGCAATAAAATAAGATGTAGCACCAAGGCAACCCTAGCCAGGATTTCCCCACGAAGGAATTAGCATGCGCAGCTGATAATGGCACGCGCATTCCATTCACCGAGGAAAACTGCTACTCCCGATATGAAGATTGGTTGGTTGTGCACCGGGCTGACCCCAGCTGCATTCCATGCCTGCTCAAAAAATCGCAATTGACTGCGTGCCAATGCCAACTGAAGGTTGCATTACATTGTGGATTGCATCCACCACAGACATGGAGAGGGGACCAGTGGCGTCGATGCAAAAGAGGGGTGCTAAGTAAGGCAGTAGTCAAGCCTCGGCGCGCACAATACGACCCAACAGCAGTGAAATCACCAGCAGCGGGAACTCCCTCCATGCCCGGAATAACTGCATGGCTACTTCCCGAGCACCGAGGCGTCCACGCCGCGTGCCGCAGCGTTCTAATGAGTGCGCAGTCATCTCCGCGCATCCTTGGAGCAAAACAGCGCTGTTCCGGCAAACTTTCTCAGCCATTTGGGCAAGGCACTAACGCGGCGTGCTGTCTGGAGCGACAGAAACGACGTTAAAGTTCAACGCTTTGCTGGCCGCCGCAGCAACCACCACGGCCCCGTCCCGCGCATCACCTGCATCGCCATTAATCGGCTTCTGCGAGTGCCTACGGGTACCCTCGGTCGCGCAACGGCACACGCCACAGCCGCCCAGGGCCCTGCGCCTTCCCCGGGAGCCGCTCAGGAGCGACAGCGGCAGGAGAGTGGGCTGGCGCGCTCATGGCATCAGGCGCAACGCATGAAGCGCGCGGCATGAACCCAGGCGCGCCTCTTGACAGTGTCGTCGGGCGGCAGCAGAAGTACAACGTGCGACCAAGGGGGCAAGCCATAGTGAACGGCCATGAGCGGACGATACGGGCCACACGGGGCTCATGGCGGACTGTTCTTGCATCGAGAATGCCGATTATGTAGGGAGGGGGGCCGCTGTCACATCGCGGCGGCACGAAGGTCAGAGCTCGAGGCGGACATCGTCAATTACTCTGGGGCTGCCGCCGCGCGGCATACGCGCTTCGTGCCGCTGTACTAAGTCGTCGGTGTCGTGCTTGAGATCTCCATCGGGGCCATCTGCTCGCGCACTGTCTATCAAGCGTGTCCAGATTGCGAGAAAAAGCTGCGCGCTCCCGTCGCCGGGATTCGAGTTTGATGCAAATCACCATCAATGACCGATATTGACCTGCGCTTCGACACCCAACTGTGTTGAACACATTGCCCGCGTTGCCGTCGAGCGTGCCGCAAAGATGCGGCGACGGGTTCACGTGGGCAGTAGGCGTTGCTCTCGGGGACCCTGGTGCAACTCCGCACTGCGCAGTGCTGAAGCTTGATCCAACGTATGCGTTAAATCACTGGCAACCATCACGATCGCCGTTGATCAACGGCTCGCCGTTGATCAACGGCTGGCCGTTGCTCATGGGCTTTCTTGCGTCGTGCGCAACAATCACGGCGACCGTTAGTTAACTATAGTCAGCACTGCTTAGGATTCATGACCCTGGTATCAAAGTGATATTGCCTCCCCGCGGACGAAACCAGCCTTGCGATGGTAACGCCAGACAAGCGCCAAACTACTAACACCTGAAGGCTGTCGGCGGCAAGAGCTCGCAGCCACGAGGACGGGGGCGAGGTGGCGCTTCGAAGCTACGAGGCACCTTGGGCTGCCTTGTAATGGCTTCCCTAGCAAAAAAAAGGACCAAATTAAAAAGGACCAAATAACATTTCTTGCGAACACATATACATGCATTTCATCAGCGTTCTGCACGCCACAAACACGACAATAACACAAACCCGTAAACTTTGCATACATTTGAACGCGCGTTATTTGGTCCTTTTTTTCCCAGTGATCAACAGGTCGCGGAACAGAGCAATCCGCAAGATCGCGAAGGCGAATCGCCATTTGCGATTGCCGCAAACACAGGGGGCATGATGTGCGAAAAGCTTGGCCGGTTGTGCCATCCAGGTCGGTGGGGGGCCGGCCAAGCGCAGCGCGCCATTGGCATGAACAGGCGATCTGTGGAGATACACGTGCCCATGAGATGCTGGGGTTGGTGCGCGTAGGGATAAGTGCGGCTACATGCACACGGCGCATGATGTCCGCGATTCGTCGCCGATCGCGATGCACCGCTCCATGCAGTCCACGGACACCTCAACCAGATAGGGGCGACGGCTGGGATGCTCAAGGAAAAAGACGCGGGTACAGGCGGACGTTTTCTACTGTCGCAGACTCCTCCTGAGGTTACCACTGCTGCCGCCAGCACCGTCATGGACATGCAAAGGGGCCAGTCGCCACGAGATGCGGCCTCGTGGCGCCGCAAGCGACGGCCCTCCTAAACATCCGACTTGCTCAACCCCTCGGGGCAATTCTGCCCCAGGACCAGGAACGCAATTCACTCGGAACTGGGTCCCTGCCCGTGCCAGGCGCAATCTTTGGCATGCGCCTGGGAGCGCCTCACTTCGACTGCGCCCTTCGCTCCGTCCTCAGCAACGCACTGCGGCGCTCATGCGGGTGGCTGGCAGCTGCCAGACGGGTTGCTCACCGCGGCCTGGGCGCGGCAGAGGCTCCCACACTACGGGGCTGGGACGTCACAACCGGCGACCAGCACGGCGGCCCTGCCGCGGGTCCGCCTCTGATTGAGAGTGCTCTCAACGGTTGCTCAACGGCTCGAGAAATCGACTTTGCAGAATCCCGCAGCCGTGGCGGCTGGAGTCCGCCCAACCTCTAGCAGACCAAGTATGACTGCGGCGGCTGCGGGACAGCAATGCCCCCGTCCAGGACGGCCGGGGGTGACGGCAAGCCAGCCTGGAGCCCAAACCGGGCTATGACGGGATCCTGGCACCCCACAGTGCCTTTGACGATCGCTTTGCTAATCGGCGCACGACCCGATGGGGGTCGATGGGGGCAGTTCTGCATGATTCGTCACTATTGTTCAGAATATGAGCGATAACGCGGTAAAACTTTTTTGATGTGACAGGTGAAATGCAGGAACGGGGGCCGTCAGCCCGAAGGGAGAAAGTTCTCGAGCCTTCGCCGGTCGCACGCCATTGAAGGACACTCCATTGAAGGACAATCCATTGAAGGACGTCACAGATACGGGGGACAACGCACCAATGCCCAACCCTTCCCAATGGGCACGACACAGATCTCAACCACAAAATCACCCGGCGGCAAACAAACAACCGGAAGTTGTCCAACCGACTCATGCACAGCAACGCTACAGTGAATGTAACATAATGCAGACAAAGCGAGCGTTGAAATTGCAATGAATGGAGTGCCGCCGAGTTTCGATCTTTGGAAATTTCAGGAAATTGGGGCTGAAGACTAACTTGTACGGGCACACCCCACGACAGGTGTGAAAGGGTCTTGCAGTAGCTCAGATAGCTGTTCGTTTGATCGTTTCCGAGCAGAATCTGGGTACAACCTTTGTTGCACCGCCGCCACGCGGTCGCCGCCCCTTACCGGCAAAGAAACATGGACAACTCGCCATTACCAAATTCAAAAGAGCACGTCCTGTAAGCATTCACCAATCCACGTCGATAATAGGCCCATATCCCGAATAGTGAATGGTACGGAGAGTTCCCATATCCGGCATATAATGGCAGGATATGGCCATATCGTTAGGAAAAGAGAAGAAATGGCAGTTCGAGATGGGCCTATATCAATGATAAGAAATTTCACGCCCACCATCGCAAAAAGGTTATCATCCCGGACAAGCACAACCCTTAAACTCCACCACCTCCCTGGGTTTGCCCCTGCCAATGTGCCCCACGCTCATTTGACTCCGACAGAAGTATCATCAAAGTCCTGAGGCCCTCGTGCACCAGGGTTGCGACTATCCACGGTGCAGCAGCACTGATTTCGGCACACGCTATTCGATGGGAGCTGTCGCGGGCTGCTCAAAATTTGAGGCCCAAAATGCGGACAATTTGGGAACGCTTTGTGCACGATGCTTGCTACCATGCCGACAATATTTGCAATTCGATGACGGCACCACATTGCATTGATACACGAATTCCCGGAAGGGGAACTTTACTGGTCAGTAACTGCTTCGCGATTGTTTTTTCCAGAGTGGTTTACTGCTTGGCCCAAACTTTAGTGGATTTAACACCCCGCCCGAAATCGCATTGCGTCTGTTCCTGTTTTTATCAGTTCGTACGTTTGTTTTTCTAACGACTGCGGTCACCATAATGTTTTGATGCTGCTTGAATGTGGCCATCTGCGCATCAAAGCAGCATATAAAGTAGTGTACACTTCCCAACTCACATTCGGTCCTTCAAAGAAAGGATACAATTTACTTTCCTCCGCACTGCAACCCAACATGTGTCTTGCAACGCGGCATTCAAAATCGTCATGGAAGTTTTCGTTGAGGGCACGAATCACGACCACTTTCAGCCTTTTCCCTTGCACCTCAGCTCGTGGTGCTTCATGCCCCAGCCCACTTTGGAACAGATCTGAGTCGACACAGATAGTCTTCAATGAAGGAGGGGGCGTTCCATGTGGTTGTTAGGAAACGCTACATAGTTCCTAAGCAATTTCAGCTGCCTCGCTCAAGCTTGTTGTTTACGTTTAGGTTTACGTTTTTGCGTTTATGTTTTTACGCATAAAAATGTAAATCTGCAGAAGGGGCTATTTTTGCGGCTGTATTTACGTTTTTGCAGCCCGTTATGACACACAAATGAAAGTCGAGCGCAATGATTAGTCTTCAGCCCCCTCGAACACCTGCAACACAGCGTCCACCTGGCCTTTGGCAAAGGCAACGGCAGCATGGAACAAAAATAAATTTTCTGCCCATTCCAGCGCGTCTTGCTGCCACACCTCGGATTCTCCAAGTCAGTCTGTCTTTATGTACAAGGGGATGTATTTGCGTTGCATTTACGTTTTTGAACGCCGTCTTACGCATAAGAATGTAAGAACTATTTTTGCGCGTAAAATCGTAAACATATCAGTTTTTATGGCGTAAACAGCAAGCCTGGCCTCGCTGCGGAACAGCTTATCCTCTCCTACGATCCAAACCCCATGACTGGGCCGCTATCGGCTACTTGTTGTAGCCATTCATCTCGCCATGTGCAACAACCTGCTCGAAACCTTACCTGTGGGCGTCACGCAAGACTTCTGTAATGCATAGCATGCGCCCCTGCCGGCAGCCAAGTGGCCCGCGAACAGTACCAGGCTCCCAGTGGCACTGCCGATGTCCATGAAAGCCGCATCCTGGGTGTCGGAGTCGCGCGAAATTTCTGCTGGACAACGCTCCACAATCCCTCAACGAAAGAAATATATGTGCTTCCTCATTTTCCATCACTAGCTTTCAGGCAGAGACCCTTTTGAAGAAGGCGCCATGCCAAACCCATGTTTCCTGCAAATTGAAACTTAACTTAGAACACCCCAGTTATTGCATGAGCGCTCTCACGCTAGCGCGGTGCATGCAAGGTGCTCTAACATTGTCCCCGCTGGACGTCGTTAAAACTTGAAAATCACAGTGAGGGGGGCACTCAGCGACATTCGGCCCACCTGGCAGAGTCGCCCCAACTGCTTCTCTGCTGCAGCAGAGACAGAGTTGCCCAACGTGGGCCTGCCCACAGTTCTGTAACCGTAGTGCTGTCGGGATTGAGGGGCCTCAATCCAAAGTATCGAGCGGCCACTGCAGTTCCCTGTATGGCGCAAGCAGCGCTTATGTACTGAGACCTCAAGCATCAGCAACAGCGAGAAGCGGAGCAGTGCACCCTTTCGCTGTATTATAGTAGCTACCGCAATCATTCGCATAAATTAGGTGCTTAGAAGTGGGACACAGTGATGCGAGAGCACCGCGCACAGCTCCTTTGAAGATCTCCTTTTTCAGCACTCACATTCCATACTTTTGATGAGCTCGAGTCTGGAAATTTTTGTCCCTCTTGCTTGGGCTTGCGGCCAAAGATACCTAATTCAGGTCGCCAATGCCACAGAAAGACCTGCGGGCTGTCTAAGCTGTGTGCGCTGATGTGGAAGCCATGCAGTGCGCGTGCGAGTCTCATGCAAATCGAAATGCGCCTGCAATCCTATCGAACTTGCAATGTTCGTCCTGAGGTCGCGAGGAAGAGATTGGCGACAGTTTGCAGGGATCAACGGCTAGTTCTGGCTCCCACATGTGCGACCTACGTGTACACCCAGGTTTGCTGATCGTGATCCATTCTAGAGCGTGCCAATAGGTCTGTCTTGTTACACCATCTCATTCACTGTTTGCCTGCCCACCGACATCCCATACGTTGAACGAGCGTCAGCTAGAGACCCATCATAAGTGACCTCCTATTGCGACGGTGTCCATTATGAAGAAGGTGGGAAAGCGCACCGAGTTCTGACAGGATGCCTTGCGGATGCATTTTGCAAAGTCGTTGTGGGCGTGAGTTCCATCGCGTACTGATACGGATTCTGTGGTGTCTGCATCAAGACACATGACACTGGCTTTCTGGCTTACTGAATTCTCCAATTGAGGCTATTCCTGGCCTTTGCTGGTCTAGATTCCTCCGCAATTTGGGCACACAACGGCAACTCGGACACAGAAAATATCCTACCTCATGTTCCGTCCTGGATATGCAAAGCCGAGCAGCGAGGAGAATGTGTTGGTGTACATTCAACTTGATGCAGCACAGACACTAATTTTTCTTGAGCTGGTGTTATCAATGAATTTCATCCGTTTGAAGCATGCAATCCGACGAGTTCAACGAGTCTGAAGCACGAAGCTCGATAGGTTCAACGAGTTTGGAGCATGAGGTTGGTTGTGGTTGGAATCTACCTTTTCTGCGAGCGAGATCCACAGATCTGAGCAGCACCACAAAATGGACAAGGTTTGTGTAAATGAACGGCTTGTCTTGCGACCAGTTTCCTTCCCAGCACGCTGTTGGGGAGTGGTCTGGAGTGGTTGTCCGAGCGTCTTTGAGCACTGCACGGTCGCAAAACGTAGCGAAACGCCATCACAGAACGGCCAGTGGCACCGTTAGGTCAGAACCAAAAACTTGCAATGTGCTTGTGACCTGACCAGTAAGCGGCAGTGTATCTACGCATTTCTCGCCCTAGTAGAAGCCTGGCATTTTGGCCTCATCCGCGCTCAGTTTGGAGACACTGTTGTAACTAGAACTGATCGAGTATTATTAACAGCTGGACGCATAAAGAGGTGACGAGGTATTGGGAACTCCATCGAGGACAACGATGAACGGACTGGATATAAGGGACAGAGTTCCTATTGTCCCTTTGCTCCGCTGCAAATCGTTGCCGTGTACTCGAGCTTACGGACACCAGTCAGGTGCCGCCGCCCCTCGACTCTGCCTGCCTTGGTTGGCACTGGCTGTTGAGAGTCCCAGTACTTTAGGGTCTAAAACTCAGCAGCAAGGACAAGGGGCATCGAGCAACCAGTGCATTGCGCAGCCTGAAGTGGCTGACCGGCGCTCCAAGTCGCCTGCCGACCTCAACTACCACCCCGGCGTGAGGCCACGGTTCCCGTGGCTGGGCAGGGCGGCTCACGACCGAGCAGCCGTGATTTGGATGGCCGTCGGTCCGTTCCGAGGCCCACCCGCCACGGACGCCTGATCGACTCATGACGGCGCTCTGCGGCTCACTGAAGATGTCGGACGCTCGTTGTGGGCCAAATCTTTGTCGCGGAGGGGCGCAGAGGACGATGATGCCGAGGCGCGTGAAGATTTCGCTCACGCCAGCGGTGCCGCCGCGCAGGGGCAGTTTCTCGGTGAGCGCGGTCGGAATGCGCGATCGGCAATTGGACTTGGAGAGGAGAGAAAAATTGTTTGGTGGGGCCCCTGGTCCGTGGTTCGCCGCAAAAGACTCCGCAACTCATGGGGGGGTGAATATGGCGGCTTCAGGTAGACCATGAAGCATTTCCTGGATGGCACTTTTGGTACGTCTTGCATGTGTTTGATGGCAAATGCCCACACTGGCTAATGGCGGTTGTTATTGCTGGAGGATGATACCTCATCAAGCATATGTTGGAATTGCCAGCATTCGGTTGACCATTGAAACCACTGCTGTGGAAATCCCAATGGGATCGTCGAGGTTCAGTTGGACTGCAGTATGAGAACATTTCGCTTTTGTTAGCACCACTGACAGAAGTTCTTCGCAAAACAGATAAACTGTGACAGGGGAGCTGCTAAAGCAGCACAGTTGCCAGATCTGCTGGTGTTTCTGTCCCTTTGGTAGTCGTATCATGGTCCTATTACAGTCCCATTAGTTGATGCCAGCAATGCTGAAGCAGTGTTATGGAAGATGTTGAGCATTTTGAGGTCCATGGAATGCAGCTGAAAACAAAGACAAGGCCATGATGCAGCGGATTTTGACGTTGACCATTGTTCACTGATCTGTGGGGCATTGCACCCCATCGCTGCCAAGGTGTACATCGACATAGAGTATCAAGAATAGTGTATGCAGGCTGTGCTGAATGCTCAATGCCAAAAAACTTTGCTGCTGCATACCGATGGAATCTACACTGAAGCGCTGGTGACGAAGAGAAACATTCTTCATAGTTCATTGTGTTGTCGAAATGCAGCAGGCCTGTGCCGCACACAGCCTGTTCTTGTCCTGAACAGTGCTGTGATGTTGAACTGTAAGTAAGATGTCTTGATTGCTGCCATCTGGCAATGGGAACACTTGTGCATCCTACAGATACACAATGGTAATCAGCTAGAATAGCATCAGCAATTGATGTGCACCCTGTCAGATTTCCATTCCATTTATGTACTTGGTTTTAATGGATCTGGCAGTATGCAAAAAAGCATTGTTTGGGGATTGGAAACATTCCATGTTTCGATTGCTGCAGTTTTGTTGCTGCTCTTTTGGGTTGAACAAAGCTGCCAATGGAAAGTTGCAGCCATCGTGCTGTGGTATCCGTCTGCTCCACACATCTGCAAACTCGAACAATCAAATGTTGCACCATTTTGGGTCCTTGTGACAAGGGCTGCTGCATTGAACTGTGCTTGTTCATGGGACAGGTTGGAGTGCATCCATTGAGATACCGCTTTTGTAAAGCCCTAATCCCGAAAGCAACTGGTCCAGGAAAAGACCCAAGTCCTGACCAAGGAGAGGGAAACAGTAAAGAGGGGCTGCTGGATGCTGAAGAAGATGAACTGAGAAAAGGGCTCCTTGAGTTTGCAATTAAAATAGGAGGTGTTGGCACTATTGCTGTCGTCTTGGGCTTTTTCTTGGACATTGACCCCTTTGCGAACATCCACTGGTCGATCCCAGACATCACTATTGGCATGTGGTGCGTCGCACCCTTGCTCATCTACAATTCGTTTGTGATGCTCTGGAATGGCGGCCAGACCAAGAACATCGGCAACTTGATAATTGAGCGCATCGACTCATCAGCATCAGAGTCAGAACAACAGCCTGTTGCAACGTTGGGGCCTGTGAAGGAGCGGTCCGAGATGGAAACACTGATGTCTGCCTTGCTACAATACCAGCAGCAGGCTGCGATTGACAACCCATCCAGAGAGCTGAGTCCGTTGGTGGAGGGAGTGATCATTGTGCTGGTGAGCCTGTCTGCAGAGATGTTCTATCGAGCCATACTCCTCACTGTTTCAGGCTCATGGATACGTGACCGCCTGTATGAGGGTGGCGCTGAAGATTTGTTGTGGGGGACGGGTGTGCCAACGGACGAGGCTGGGCTGTGGTTTGCCACATTCCTGTTTGCCAGCTTTGGAGTCAGAGGCCTGATTGTTCGGTGGCAGGCAGTGGCAAGGTGAGTGAAATGCCATAATGGACATGGAGAATGTTTGCATTCACAATGCACAGTGAGATTGGCATATTGTGGTGAATACGCTGATGTGAGCGGTGAATCATTTCCTGATGTTGTGACATTTTACCCGCAGCCCTGTGCTTGTCCACCATAGAGTGGCAAAAAGAGATATAGAATTCATCGTCTGCGTTTGTTACTAACCACACTGCATGACTCAGCAACAAGAAACAGCAGGCGCCATTTTTTCCTAGTTGCAATTGTCGTCGCAAACATCCACCTTTTCAGGTGTTTGTCTTCTGTCTTACTCGCACTCTCAGCCCCTGGTTGATTTTGCATGCTCCCTGATATGGCATCACACATTGCGCCTGCTGCTCTTCACAGTTTCAAGTCCTCGATGTCGGAGAAATTTCGAAAGTTTCCTGGAGGTGCAGTAAGTGGTGCTGCTGCCAAAGCTCTGAGAAGAGCTTCTGAAGTGACCAAGGTGGCAACTGTCATTGACGCTGTCGATTCCGTCATGAACGAGGCAAGTGTTGCCCACACCTGAGGTTAGCCACTGATTGTCATTTGGCAGCAAAAGGATGTGTCATGCTCAAGGGATCTTTCCACACTGCAGCAGCACACAGCACTCTTCTGAACTAGCCAAAGCTGAGGGCGTCCGCACTTCGGAGCGACTCTGCTTAAGCAGCTCTCGGGTGGTCGCACTCGAGGCCACAGTGTTTAGGGAAGGATTGTGTTGCGAAAAATGTCGATCTTGCTTAGGACAGGGAAGGCTGCAGAAGATGAAGCCCATCCTGTGGTACTGGCACCGTCCATCGTTATCAAGCCGTTCATTCTGCTGCACAGGTGGCGATGTGCTCTGCGTTCATCCTCACTGGCAATCTGGCAGCCCCGTTCACAGCGCAGGTCGTAAGGCAGATGCTGTACTCCACGTACCAGAGGATCAACTACAACAGGATAGCTGAGTTCAATGGCGAATTGCAAGCTCGCCTTCAAGGCCAGGCCCAAGAACTGAAGTTGCGACTGCTGAAGGCGTCAGTGGACAAACAGCTGGCACGCAGCAGCGCTCTTGTTGAAGAAGAGCGGCACGCAGAAGATGAAGCCACCAATGGCGATCCTGACGAAAATCCAACAACTTCGGATGCCCAGGGGGCCCCTGAAATTTCTGTCGACCTCAAAGTTCTGCTTACAGTTCTGAGGATGGAGACATCGCGAACGGCTGTCATGATCAAGGAAGAGATGCAGAGGGACGACGATTCCGACCGGCTAAAGATTTTAAACAGTCAGAAGGACGAACTGTCTGTTCTTGTGAAGAGAGTAGAAAATGAGATGGCGGAGAGGGACGAGGACGAGACGAATCAAGAGAGTGGCAAGTGAACTCCTGGCAAGGGGATACATTCTGCATTTTCTTTGTTCAAAATAACTTTGATTTAGGTGGGTGAGTCTCCTCCAGGAAGAGGAGGCATGCATTTTTGCGTTCTGCTTTAGTTGTTGTCTGAGGAATTATTGTGGGGATGGTTGCCTGGGATTCTTGGTGCCCTGGCTTGCCGTGATGTCATCGTTCTTTGTGTGACATCCCTAATGCCATGGGGGGTGTCCGTCACTTCTTTGGAATTGCCACTGCATGGATCTGCGCTCAGAATGACCCGTACTTCGACGAGAAAGGGATTGTTCGCGTGGCATGGCCGGGTGTCCGCTGTTTGCAGGTGCTGGTTTTCAGCGGTCCATGTTTCCTGATGCAAGCGGCGTGCAGAACGCCGTTCACAGATGCGAATGGTACAGAGGCAGGTCGAGCAGAGCTCAAAGGCCTCTGGCATCACCAACAAGATGCATTGCATTCTAAACAAGCACCCTTCATCAGAGCAAGACTTTAACTTCCATCGCTCCACGCTAAAATGGAATTCTGAGCATTTTCTTGTGACCACAGTCGTCTAAATAGCTTCTCACATCGCTTTGCTCATCTGTGCGAAGCAATCGAGGACAGCCACTCTTAATACTACCAAATCACATCAAATGACCACCACGTCATGGGGCAAGCTACGCCAGTACGGTTGCCTTCCAAGTATCCATGGCTGGTCACGACTCCTGCCGACTGTATCCCTCCAACCCTTGCGTGATCCTTACGTGCAGGTGACGCCCAGTCGCATTTGGGCAACGTGCGGCTGTTGAGACCGAGCAGTTCGGCGTGCCCATGGCATAGGGGGGTGCTTGGACTGGCGCCATTCTGGCACGTGCCGGTGCGTTTGGATACAAGTGGTTAGCGGAAAGTGTGTGAATAGTCGCATGTGAATGGTGCTCTGTAAGAGTATCAAGGGCGATCATGGCTGTGGTTGGCCAACATTTGGGCGCAGCATGCGCTGCACTGGTGTGGGATGGCAGCGGACGTTTTCAGACTCAAACGCTTAGGTCCCAGTGCACATAGTTCCAACCAAAGCCTATGACTCAAAGGTGCGACAATTTGCCATCGAAAGACTGCACTCTTGCTCGTTTCAAAGCGTTACGGAGGACAGTTGCAGCAATCAACCACGAGTGACCACAATGCAGCAAAGTCATGGGTGACACGCCCAGCGCAGTGGCGGTCGTTGTGTGGCCCTAGCAACGGCACATGAACGATGCCACGGCGCCTGCTGGTTGCAACATTGTAATTCAACACGTGCATCCGCACTACCACCACAGCCCTGCAGGATTTGCTGCGGCGACCCGCATTCTGCGCCAGGAACTATTTCAGCGCGCTCGCAGAGATATGCTCAAGTCATCGTGCAGGTCTGACGACTGATGCCGCAAAAATGGTTCGCAATGGACTGTGCGCGGCGCCCGCCAGCAACGGCGTACGGTGGCGCACCCGAACCAGGATTGCATTAGCCAATCCACTGCGATGCCCCAGCCGCGGGCGCAGATTCCAGGAAGAGCTGCAACCCCCAGCATTAAATAATTGCCACCAAACAATTCTACGGGTTCATGATGTGTGAAGGGGCGATGAGGAAGCCGAAGACGTTCCCTCCCAGCCATTCCAGCCGCGACGTTCGTTGATGCGCCCTGCGCTGGGTTACCAGCAAGTCCCTCAAGTCCTCCACTAGCTCCCGATTGACGTTGAAATAATTGTGCCGCCACGCATGCACGTTGGTCTCAATGTACGTCGTTTCTATGACGTCCATGTCCAGCGGCTCCTGCGTAATGGGGTCCGTGATGTCCATCGGCGACCGCCCCACGCTGTGCGGGTACTTCGTCTTCTTCACTTTCCGCAGCACCCATCCCCCCAAGCGGTGCGTCCACGGCTTCCTCCTCCCGCGGGGGCTCAGCAAAGCGGAGTGAAAGACGGAATAAAAATACCGTATTCCCTGGAACCCATCTAGGGTCTCCTCGCCATGATTGGAGCCTTTCTTCAGATTGGGCAAGGAAACACCAAAGCGGCCCTTTTCCTCATCCTCGCCCTCTGCCCCCCGCCCCATCCCCCCCCCTGCCTCAAGATCGCTGGCATCACTGACGTAGCCGTTCAGCCGCATGGCCTTCTTCACCCTCTCCACCCTCTTGGGCAGGAAGAATTCGATGAGGGTGTTGGCGATTTCTGCAAACAGCAAGGCGCCGTCCGTCTTGTCGCCGTAAATGGTGACCACGGGGCAAAGCGCCCGCAGGCGGTGGCCAATCTCGAGGCGAAAGTCTTCGAGCTCGAAATCTGGGTTCATGAGCGTTATGGTGGCGATTTTGAGGGGGAGGGTACCGGGTGGGCTCAAGCCCACGGGGCTGGGGATGATTTCCTCCAGGGTGGACAGGGCGTACGTCACCACCCTCAGGCCGCAGCTGTGGGTCATCAGGTGCACCGTGCGGAACTTGTGGGCTGCCAGGGAGCGCAGGCACTGGATGAACGCGTCCCGAGTCCTGTCACACTCGGCGGCACCGAACCGGGCCTGCAACGCCAGAATTTGGGCGATCAGCGCACAAAGGGGCACAGCATTTGCGCAACACTGGAATTCAAAATACACGGGCAGGCCGTACCCAGAAGTCAATCCATAGCAAGAGTTTTCAGGCGGGTGGCCGACGGGAACAGCCCGCAGCGGACAGGCAATCAAACCAATGCTGCCATGTTTGTGGGGTTCCTCCCGTTGCAGCATGGCAACAACAGCTGGCAGCAGCACAAAAATAACCACCATGGCGCCAGAAAGGTGTGGGAGCCGAATTGTTTCAACAGGCTGGTTGTTTCTATGCATGAAATCCTGGATCCAGCTGCTGACGGTGGCCCTGGGGCGTGGCAGCCCATGCCTGCAGGATGCAGCAAGTAACAGACACTCACCTGCAAGTACGAGAAGTAGTTGCCACCTGGCCAGCTGAACACAATGGGTTTTATGTACGTGGGGAAGTTACCTAAGGCCATGAGCTGCCCCAAGATTCTCACTGCATCATGAACTGATGCATTGAATCCAGGGATATACAGCAGGGCCTCATAGTGACCAGAAATGCTCTTGGGCTGCCAGCCCACCACATCCAGGCCAGTCGACTGCCAGTCGCTGTGGATCGACGACACCGACTTGTTCATCCCTTGTTGTGGAGGCCCCCTGTGCTCCACAGCGCCAGCACGCCTTGCACTGTGCCTCCGAACAATTCTAACATCCAAGTCTGACACTGAGGGAGGGCCGCTGTCCCTGCCAACAAACATGTAATCCGATATGACAAGGCCCCGGCTAGGGTCAACGCTCACAACGATGGAGTCGTTGCGAACAAAATCCCCAAAGTCGCGTTTTATGGATGCTGACCGTTCCATTGCACCAACCAATGAACCAAGGGATGTCGCATATCCTGGCATCGTTCGAGGGCTCAAACGTGAGTTGGGGCCAGGACCACGAGAAACAGGGCTGCCCTTCACATCCCCATCAATTTGGCCCAAATCCTGGGGATCAAATTTTGGGGACTCCCCGTCATTGGCCGCTGGCGACGGGACCCCTGTCCAGTCAAAAATTCGACTGCCATCAATGTCTGCGTCCTTCCCCATTGAGACAGGGCCTCCGTGAAATGAGATCCTAGGGTAGTCCTTGAAGAAGACGCCGCTCACGCTGCACTCGATGCTGGCAGTGCCATACAACAGCTGCACACACCATCCACACAGACTTGTTCGAAAGGGTATACTAACACGACATGGGCTTGTCGATTTGGCGGAACTACAGCCAACGATGCCACAATGACACCACACTTTCTGGTGTTGATGCTGTATGTAATCTGATTAACATCTGCAGCCCCAACCACCTCATCCTGCTGCTTGATAAATGAAGGCTGTTTTCCACTGGACAAAGCTGGGCATGAACTTATGGTACACACTGCACTCAGTGTCATGCTGGCAGGTCCAACATTCCTGTCTCATGACTGTCTGCACAGCTGGAAATCACCCATGAACTGTGCCAACTCTCGCCACCAAGGGCAACTGCCATTCTGCAGCCCATGAACCCTGATCTATGCAGTGTTCTCCATTAGCATAACCTCAGGTCGCATTCTAGGGATCCTGACTTTGCAAAGTAACAGCCAGCTGAAGAAGTCAACCGCGGCAATGAATAGCAATAAACACTGAATGGATCAAATTCAGGCAACCAGCAAAGGAGCAAAACTGGCACTTTGACCATGGAATCTGGCATCCCAGGGCGCACAAGTGCTTACCTCCCCTTCTGGAACAAATACTGGCATGAACCATCTGCCCTCAACGCCGTCCCCTCTGTGTGTGAAGTAGCCTATCCTTGTGCTCAGGAAGCCACTGGAGGACCCCTTCTCACGGCTCATGAAGGGTCCTATGGGCCTCCCCTCATGCCACAAGCCACACAGGTGCTCCCCATGGTAATGGGAATCCCACCACTCCCCAAAGCCATGTGGCCGCTGCTTATCATCAACCTCACCTACATAGATCACCTTGTACTGGGAAACCCAGGACCTATGAAATGGTACAAGCAAATCCAGGTATTCGTCAGCAGGGAAGTCACCCTGGACATGATTGGGCAATGAGACAGGTATGGCCTCCTAACCAGACCATGAATAGGAGTTCTTCAAAACAAACCAACGTCATCCAAGCAAGATTCCTCACCTTGGCAGTAACCCGGAAATTGTTCCCACATACTCATAAGCACACCAATGCAGAGGACTTTTGATTTTGCCAACGTAGTCATACAGAAGAATGGGTTGGATATCTTGACCCCCTGTTGGCCTCAGCCTGGGCGCTGTGAGTGGCCAACCCTTCTCTTGCCACACTGCAGCAAAAACAAACATGTGCACACCGAGGTGAACAAACCTTTCCCTTTCACACGCAACATACCAGGCAACAGAAGGCAGTGTCGGATCTGAATCTTCTGAGGCCCTGGATCCAAAGGTGCGTCCCCACAGCACAACAACCCCTGGATAGAAGCCCATCACTGCCATGTGGAGGCAGCCCTTCGCTGTTCTGATCAATATATTCAAAGTAGAATTAAACACTATCAGCCTGCCATACAGATCACCTAGTTGTGATGCATGGCTGCCAGAATGCGTTCAGCAGAATGAAGAGATCCACAAGAACCATTTGCAAGTGATGATGCGGAATAACATGCCGAAGACCCACATGAACATGGACAGCAGGGCTGGCAAAGCCAAACTGCCTCAACAAGACACAAAATATGCTACAGGCAGAGCCCTGTGCAGCAATCAAGTCCCTACAAGGCATGTTCATGGCACCGGTGGTGGCTTGTGCACTGTGTCTGCGCAATGCTGAGTTCCTGTCAGTCACATTGCCACAGAGCACAAAGGAAGAATCCTTTCCACCTGCCTGGCAAATAGTGAACTTGATGGTATCTGACGATGATGATGACAAACATTATCGCCAAGTAGAGGCCCAAGACAGCACTCTGGAAGCTCTCCCTCCCTTTCAGAATGGTTCCAATCTGCCAATTCTTGACAATCACGTATACCATAGCGATTATTGCAGCCTGGGTTATGTACAGGGCAGCCATGTTTCTGTGCTTGACCTGGACAATGCCACAACACAAACAACCAAGATCAGATGCTACACAAGGCATTCTAGGCCCAGCAACATTACAGGCAGCAACTGCTTGTGTACCTGCTACTTAGTTGAAATAGCAGGTGGTTCTTGCTGGCAACTGCGAATTCGTGCACTCTTAACTCCCTGTAACTCCCTCATCATGCAGCTATTATGCAGCCGCCAAATACAAGGGCAAACCATAGGGTGAGAGCTGCATGCACACCTGATATCTGACAAAGTAGAACATTAGCGTCAGCGACAGTGCCCACATCAGGGTTGTCACCACCCCCGTCACTGGAATCTCTCCGATCAACGAGGCGCCAAAGTTCCATTTGAACTCCACAGTGAGCATCTTGTTGCTATAATCCAAAGTTCCAAAACCCCACAAGAGGAGCAGACAGGTGTAAAGGGTCCAAGTCATCAATGGGCGTGTGGGTCTGTAGGCTCCTCGATATCTGCATCACAACAGCTTGGTCACTGGTTCTGCGCAACCATAGTCAAGGCTGTGCAACTGACTGTACTGGCAGGTAGGCTCTCTTTGGTCCTATCACCTTGGCGGCAGTGATCTCATTGTTTAGCAGGCAATGCCCTTTCACAGTTGGCTACCTCAGAGACATGCTGCTGCAAAATACAGCAAACACAGGTGCTTTTACAAACAACCATTATCAGACAGGTGTCTAATGCTCCATGCACGCACATCAAATACACGGTTTTCCAGGACACAGTGGTTGCTGCACAAGCAGTCCAGCCAACTCCCAACCTACAGTTATCAGTCAGGACTGGATTAGAATAGGTGCCTGTGCTTCATGGTGAACAGCACAACGCTGCCAGTTCTAATGGTCGTATGCGCACGCCAACCCTGTTGTGGTTCCATCACCTCAAAAGAGCTCTCACAAGTAGGTAGACACCATCCCTAATTATTCTAGTGAGCCAACCATGGCTTTTCAACGTGCCAAGTGCTCAAATCCCTTGTGTCATTGCCTGGCTCCGACATGGATCGTTTGAATGTGCCGCAGCCAATGAACGGCGAAGCGCAGCCACAACGAAGCAAGAGGGTCGTTTCACAATCAACACTGTCAGCCAGCCTGCTGGCTACCACATAGCTCGCTGCCCTGCCAGATTGGCCAACAGTACCATTTAAATGACGTCCATGATGACATCACTGGCTACCACATACTATGCCACATGGCCCACAAGCGGAATATTTCCTGACGAACTCAATCGGAGAGCTCCACCCCTCGCATCACCACCACAAACGACGGCATTGAACACGTCATCAACGGCGACGAAGGGGATGCTGGCCTTACTGACGCGTCCGTCCTAATGCAGAGCCCCCCTGCCACCACAACACCAACAGACTCCACAAGCCACCCGGATCAGCATCGACGGCCCGCTGATTCTTACGGTCGGCAGCGCATTGGGCCCCCCGGCGAGCAAGCGACGAAGCCCATCACGTCGCCGCTCACAGCACGCGAGCTCGACACGCAAGCCGCCCCTCGATCATCGCTTCTTCCCCCGCCCGGCACCGATGCTCACCAACCCCGCGCGCGGACACCTCTAAGTCGAGGGCGTCCGCGTCCGCTTCCTGGCCGCGGGCGCAGTCCCTGGACTCCGATTCAAAATCGCCAATCGCGAGGCGCATGCCCGGCGATCACACCAGTCGGGCCAGGCAGAACGTCCCGCGGGCTCACTTTCTGATGCTCTTCCTGCTCTCCATGTATGGAACCGTCGCCGCCAAGTCAACCCCGGGCTGGATGTCCCCCAGGTCGCGGTGGAGGACCACCCGCGGCCCGGCGTCCTCGAGGAGGGGCTCTCGATTTGGGCGCCCCATCCCTGGACCGCCGCCCACAGGGGGGCCTCGCGCAGCGCCAGCGCGGGGCGCAGAACAGGTGGCGCGGAGCTTGGGGAGGGCCTGGGGCGCCTGGGGGCCCTTGGGAAACGATGCCGCTTCGGACAACGCGGGCCCACGCTGGATAAGTACTGCCGCGTTGGGGGCACGGCATCATTTGTCAATCGAGGGAATTTTCCAGCGGCTCGTATGTCTGACTGCATAGCCTCCTCGCCTTGACATGTAGACCCCTTGATGACGATGCTGATGACTGCCTCGCCATCAATTCGGGCCATGGTGCCTGTTGCGCAATCGCCGAAAGTGAAGCCGCGGGCCACGCAGTTCGTGCCTGCTTTGCCGCGGCTTCAGGTTCAGGACTTTGCCGTCTTCTTCTTTGCGGCTACCTATGATACAGTTAATTCTTTCTGGGGGGCAGTCAGGCATGTGCAGCAAATTGCATGTGCCTCTACAACGCACGGTCATGCGGGCCCCATGAAACGGTGTGCCCAAGCTGTTGCTTTCATGTGGCGCACTGCACTTTCTGTTTCTCCTGTCCTCGAAGGACCTGAATATTCCGCAGCCGCACCTGGCAACACCCTGGCATGCGTTCGTCATTACCTCCTTCACAAGCTAGGGTGCATGGGCCAGGCGAACATGAAATCCGTTCTGAAGCATTTGGGGTGCATCTGTTTTCAACAACGACCCTGACGCACAGCAGTCGAACTGCATTGGCAATGCAATTTGAGGTTCCGAACAATTGTTTGGCTGCATCCATTTTCGAAGGGCAGCGCACACAGCGCCCAACAAGAGCATTGCTTTGATTGTTGCAAGCCGCATAGCTGACATTGGGCACAAAGACGTACCACTGCCCTGCCACAGCTCACAGTCACTTTGGCCGTGTCCAAGAGTCGTATTCAATAGGCCCATCGTGATGTCGACTGCATAGCCTTCTGTTGCAATGGCAAAGCAACAGCTGCTTCTTCCCTGCTCTAAACAAGACAATAGGATACGGCTGCAGTTGCAATGGGCTCCAGGGCGACAGATTCTCTATCATATCTCCAAGGCGTGCTTGCCTGGCATGACTAGAGGACTGCATTACAAAGCTGGGGAAATGTGCAAGCCCAAGAGTAAGGTTGCAAAGCTGCGGCATGGAACAGCTTCCAATGGGACCAGACAACGCTTGGTGGACCCTTGAACCAAAGAACAAGTCCAGTGTGAAGGCTGACTGGAGTCGTTCATGCTTCATGTTATCCTACACTCTCTTAAAAACGTACAAACAACAAAACCCGATTGCCAGTCAATGGACGGTGCACCCCAGCAGTATATCCCATCGTCATAATCGCTGCTCTCACAGCCCAGCACACCTATGTGAAGGCAAAATCAGGAAACTGCCCCCAATCCCACAAAAAAGGAAGTAAAAAACCTTTCCACACTGTTCCAGTCCATTGGCTGCAAGCATTTGTGCTGCCAGCCAAAACAGCCAGTGCATACCAAGGGGAGGAACGCTGACAACGCAATAAAACAAACTCGTTCTGCTCGTGCTGCCCTTCGAATTATTTCAACCCACAAAGTCGATGCCGATAATGGAGCACTCAGCATGCTAACACCGACCATCAGCACTCCAATGTACACAATCCCTGTGACAACATTTGTTGCTCCAATGTAGTCTGGCCAAAGCGCGCCAGGCGGCCCGCCATCCTGCGCGTCTGCAGCCCAGGCCAGGCAAGCGCCCCTCCCAATCCCAAATCAATGAAATGCACAACACAATCTCAGCCGGCTATGTACACCCATCCTCTTCCATGCCCACAGGAGGCACATTGCAGGCGGATGTCTCTTGCTGCTCCCCAGCCTGCGCCGGTTGGCTCGCCTCCGGCTCGTCCTCATCCACAGTCTCGTCGTTCTTGCTCCTCGCCCCCCCCGGGCTCCCTGGCGTGGATCCACCCGACGCCACGCTGTTCACCTTCTTGTGCCTCGCCTGGTCCTCCACCTTCTTGTGCTTCACCCGGAACTTCTGCAGGTGGCTGGCCACGTTCTCCCTGGTGAGGCCCTCCACACTCATCAGCCGTAGTATCTGTTTGGGCGTCGCGTGGTCCAGCCCTAGGTCACCTACCGCGTTCTCAAACCTCTTCTTCAGCTCAGAGGTCCAGAACACACGCGTGCGCCTCTGGGGCTTCCCCTCCGGACTGCACCGCTGCTGCTGCTGCTGCTGCTCCTGTCCAGTGCCCAGCCCGGGCAGGCCCTTCCACTGTGGTGCAGGTTCCGCCACAGGCAGCCTCGCCAGCGCTGGCACAACCTCCCCCTCCCTGCCGCACCCGCGCTGCAGCACATCTTCCGGGGCCATCTGCGGGAGCAGGTTCAGGCCCGAGAAGCCCGCCCCCCGGCCCGGATTGATCGCCCCCGGCGCCAGGGGCAGCGACACTCCTGGCACCTGGGGCAAGGGGGGTGTCCCGTCGCCCCCGGGAATGAATCCCCTGCCTATACCGCCGCCAGGAAACAGGTAGGGCGGCATGCCTGGAACGTGCATCCAGGGATCCAGCGGCGCTGCCTGCGCCTGGACCTCCGCTGGCACCCCTCCCAGGGGCCCAGTCCCCACCGCCGGCGCGCACTCCTCCCTCGGCCCCATCTCGGCTTCGTAGGCGCCGCGGCTGCAGAAGGGCACGCTCACCACCGGTATGCAGAACGCCTCCGCCAGGGCCGGCGGCATCAGCGCCTGCTGTATGGGCACCAGCTCCGACTGCAGGGGCAGGTCCGACCCCTCCGCCTGCCAGGCCGCCCCCTGCTGGGCGGAGGCCGCTCCGTTGGGCGGCGGGGGGCCGATGCGCCAGGCCGACATCACGTCCCCGTAACGGCCTCCAGACATTCAAGCGCGCTTGTTCGGCGAGGCGGCGCCAGGACTTGGGCAGTTCGATCGCCAGCAGCAGCGGCGCCCGAGGCGCCAACGCGCGTCCAGTGCGGTTGGGTGGGGTGCGGTGTCTGGCGAGATGGTGCGCGTCGCTGGACCCTCGGCACAATGGGCGTCGCGACGGGTGGGAAAGTCGCCGGCCGCGGCTGGCGAGCGCCCGTCGCGGTCGTCCTCAGGAAGCGCGCCGCAGGTTGCGGCAGCCTCTTTGGGGCCGGACGCGTGGAGAGGGCGGCGAATGAGAGGGCTTTGGGCTTTGGCAAGGGCAAAATGGGGCATTATGAACTTGAAGTGGTTGAAGGTGGACTTGCGGGGGCAAAAAATCAGCTGCCCCGTACTGACGGACAAGAGTTGGGTGGCCCCTCTGCTTGATGGCGACTTGGCAGCCTCTGGTGTTCCTCGGGCGTGTGCGATGGTCTGCTCCCTTGTCTCGAAAGGCAACCAGCGTTCACCGCCAATCTCGCACAACCGCTGCTTCAACGCCTCCATGGGGCCCTTTGCTCACCAACGTGCGCAGCTACTCATGCACGGCGCGGCGTATCCCAGACTCTGTCTTGGGGTTTCTCTCCCTGAGATAAGCCGCTAGATGAGACCATGAGCATTGCTCGGCGGCCAGACAAAACGGAATGAGGAAATCGTCAATGTGGTCCTCCTCAACGGTCAGAGCAAGCAGTGGCACAGACAAGAGATCATTTATTCGGTGCATCGCAAGTCTCAGCTCGAACAAATAACACACGCTGCTAGTCCACACACGGATTCGCACTAAACTCAAACTGTACACAATGGTCCGGCAAATTTGGCAGGGAATTTCCGGTCATTCAATCAACATCGTAACTCAGCTTGCGTTAAAGCACAACATGTGCATTTGTGCTGGCAACTGTTGGACAGGGAGCTCCAAACAAGCGCCACAAGGCAAGTATGTTAACTAATACTTCCTCCATCCCACATTAAATGTCAGATATGGCTTTGGCGCACTACTTCTTCACCAAAAGAACTCATTTTTTAATGAAGTTTCGTCCATAGCCGTGCTTATGAGTTTGGAGTATGTGGTGAAAAACTCAAGCCAAGCCGTTCAGAGTTGCAGATTTGGCACCACTTGTAGCGAGGATCCTCCCCCCGGAAATCACCCAATTTTCAACGAGCCTGCGAAAGCGGCCGTTCAAAGTAAGAAATTTGATCTTTAATGAAATTTCGCCCAAAGCTGTTTTATGAGTTGGGAGTATGCGGTCCAAAAATGGAGTCAATCCGTGAAGAACCGCAAATTTGGAATCAGTTTGTAGCAAGCATCTTTACCTAGTGAAGCTCGAGTTCCGCTCAGAAATCACCAACTTTACCTTTTGCCCAACGCCTAAAGGGGTCGGGTCTCACTTTCTCTTCTTGAAAATTTGTAGCTAAGGGTTTGGGGATCCAATGTTTCCGCTCACGACCTGCTCTTGTGGTTTCGTGGGTCCTTTTGTAACGAATTTTGTCTTTTAAATAGACGACATTTAATATATAGGGACAGAGGAAGTAGAGAATAAATTCTTTGACAAGTACAGTTCTGAAAGACGCAAAAAATAAGCATTACCATATGATCGTCCGGTACATGAATGACGCGGCTGCACGATGAGAACGCAGTTCCCCGCAAGCCACTGCGCCACAGATAGGTCGGCGTGGCGGCAGCCATGCTCCCCTGCGCCCTCCCCCGCGGCCGAGGACCGGCCAGCGGCTTAGCGGGCTGCGGCAGCCGGGCGGGACTCCAGGTGGGCCGGCGCGGAGGCTCGATGGCGGGCGCCCCGCCCGTCGCTATGAAGCGCCGACGATTCGTTCGAATGGCTGCCGGCGGGCATGACCCCAATTTGGTGCGCTGGCAGGCGGCTTGCAGAATCCGAAGCGCCGGCGTGGGCGCGGCTGGCGGTGGATCGCGCAGGCAGCGGCTGAATACCGTACAATGCACAGGGGGTGAGTGCGCAGTTGGCTTCGAAAGCCATCAACCTGGGTGGAGGTGTGAAACTTGTTGAGTACGCCGCGGGCCTGGTCGAGACCTGCCGATTGCGACCCGAATGGCTCTCTGCATACTTCTGCGCAACATCTGCTTTGCAATGGGCGTCGTGCACTGCAGGGAGGGAGTTCCGCCGGCATGGCCCAATTTTTTCCAAGGAATAGGTTGATGTTGCTGCTGCTGTTGCTGTTGTGCATCAGCCCACTTGGAGTCTCAACACTACAAAGCGTTGTGTCTCCGGCACGGGCTAGCATAGCCCTAAGTCTGTCAGCAACTAGAGCACCTCACCTGAACTGGGGCAATGGTTTTCCACACATAGGGGCTGTTTAAGCGGAGCCTAGAAGAAAGCCATCAAATGGCTCCGGTTGTCACCGATTCTTCTGGGGTGTTTCATCGGCGCCTTGTAGATTGACTGGGTATCTCTGTGGACAGCCGCGGTTGAGGCTCCTGCCGTTGAAGAGGCTGATGAACCAGCACCCCAGGAGTTGGAAGGCCTGGAGGAACCCAGCCTTGGACCCGACGTCCTCAACAGGTCCTACTACCCCAAGGGAGTGGACACAGAAAAGAAGGGCAAGCTGTGGTACATCATCGATGCTGAGGGTCAAATACTGGGGCGGCTGGCAACGTTGGTTGCCACGTATGCGAGGTCAGTTTGAACATTTCCAGCTGGTGGAGTATTGACGACTTGTTTGAATAACTCTCCGATCCCTGACTTTGTAAAAGTGTTGCTCCTTGACCTTGACAATGGTCAGTGGAGTGAGCCTGTTGCCTTTGTGGGTCCTTATTCTGGGTTGCGCAAGAGTGTAAGTGCGGAAACAGAGGATTGACAAACAAGTTGGTGCAGCCCCTGCTCAGCAACGAGGCCACATGTGGTATGCCAGAGTTTTTATTGTGCAGAAATATTGTTCAAACTAGGGAAAGTGCTTTGGAGCCTAATGCATAAACCAAAGCAGAATGCTGCCCATTCAACTTGGAGCCTGGAGCATAAGCTGGCGTGACAAGATCGCCGTTAGCCTAAGTGGCAGTGCTGTTGGTGTACCGATGCAGGGGCAAGCACCTTCCGACATTCACGCCTTCCATGAACATGGGGGCGTTTGTGATTGTTGTGAATGCTGACAAGGTGGTGGTTTCGGGGAAGAAGTACACAGACAAGAAGTACTGGAGGCACTCAAATGGAAGGCCAGGCAAATGGAAGGAGGAGACGTTCAAGAATCTGCAACAGGTGGAGGCTCATTGAAAGCTGCTCTACTTGCACAACACACAGTCGTTTTGCCAAAGTCATTGGCCTTGGGAATCTTAAAAAGCACAGCAAATGCTGTTGGGCAGCAGTGGGCAACAGTGGTGTTTGGTGAAGCATTGCCTGCATCTTTACAGACACGAATTTGTCAACCGTTATCATCCCCTCAAAATGTACAGATCACAAAGATTGTGGTGCACTGTGGCTTGTGTGCGCAGTGTGCTGTGCATTGCTTGCAGTCGTCCCTGTACATGTGGCGCTTCTGCGGTTTGGATGATCGTGTCTGCTTGCACCACATCGGACATACGCTCAGGACACCCCCAGCAACCCTCCTGCTATTGGCGACGCAAAGTCCTGATGTTTGATACATTTGCTGGCTTGCATGATCTCTTTGACTGCGAACTGATTTGTACAGTTGTCTGTTTTCAGAGAATTCCCGAGAGAATTGTTGAGAAGGCAGTTAAGGGCATGTTGCCAAAGAACCGACTGGGCCGAGAAGTTTTCCGTCAGATTAAGGTATACAGTGGCCCAGGCCATCCACACCAAGCTCAGCAACCCATCGACATCACCAATCGTATCAATGCGAAGCGTGCGGACATCAACCTCGTGGTTCCCCAATCATGATGGCAGTCGCCGGTGGTCCATTTTTGCGGGTCAATTTTGTGCAGGCCAGCCATCGGTTATCCTGTGCTGGGGACGTAGTTCGTGGGACAGTGGGGGGAGAGAGGCAGAGGAACCCGTTCCATTGAGCTCCTTGCATCAAAGAGAGATGATATGTGGGTGTTGTACAGAGCAGGATGCTCTGCTGTGCTCCTTGAGCACTGCAGACAGCTTGCTATATTTTAGTTTCACGATGACGGAATGTGATCGGACACAGTGCTTGCCTGATACCTAGAACCCCGAATGCCAAGTCTTTGAGCCCTGAACCATGAACTGGTTGCAGCTTGTTGCAGCCACGTATCCAATGAGCGCAAGCCACTCGGCGACGCCATGCAGGTATGTATCCTCGCCAGTGGGATCGGTGTTGGCCCCTCAATCGATGTTAAATGCAACGGTTCCAATTTTAAATGCGAATGGGAACAGCGAGCTCTTGGTTGGTGTCTTGTCTAACTGCTAGAATCCTCCTTGGATGTTTGGCATGACATTTTCTCTGCAACAAACCATCCCCGTTGCCACTAAAAGAACCCCTGAACAAGAAATGTATCTGGAGAACCCTGCAAGTTCCACCAATTGCCCAATTGCGGTGCCCAGCTCTGCAGTTGTATCCATTGCTGCAGGGAACAATGAACCCCCATGGCAGCCAGGGGGTATGAAACAACCAAGAAATTTGTTTGTCCCCTGTCGTGTGTTGGGGAGAAATTGCACGTGAAGCAACGCCAAAACAACTTAGAAATCGAAAGCAAGAGTACCAACAGGTTGCACACACTCTTGCGCCTCTTGGCGCTTCGTTTCAACCCACAACAATATGTTACATGCATCCGTCCTTCACGTCAACGACATCTAGCGAAGCCCAGCCTTTGGCGCTGCGCACAGCCCCCCTTCCACGTTCAGCTCAGGGCTCATATGCCCTCTAATTAATGAAATGCTGTGGTATTTTCAAAAAGAGCTGTGCATATTTGTAGCTCACACATTCTTTCACATCGAATCACCCAAGGCTGCAAACCATGTCACATCAATGGCCTAAGACAACATCACTTTAGAACACCATTACACTAGACAATACTCCCCCTTGACCCCATCCTTACATAACGAATATTAGAGTGCACCCTATATAATGACAAACATACTAAGACATTACATACATAAATTTATTGCACATCAACTTTGCGTCATATCATCACAATCATCCTCCCTCAGGACCTCTCAATGAAGTAGGTCCCAAGCACCCCCTCACAGGCATAATAACCAACTTCCTCGCCTTCTCTTATGCGTGTAGGCCTCCAGATCTTCACCTTGCTCCTCCGTTTTCGTTTTCTTTTATTCCTCGCACATCCAGTCCTAGCTCAGAACATTGAGGATGTGATTCTTGATGTTCTAATACACTTGGTTTTGCTCATTGGCTCGGTTAGTCTTGGGATCCCCCACACCAAAAATCACCAGAATTGCCTCCAACGCTCGACCTGCCGCCTCATCCAAAAGTTTGTCACATCTATCCGAGTAGCCCAAGGCACCCTTGATCCACCCACTCAGCTCTTCAAGATCCCTCTTGCACTTCTCTTGATATGCCGTTTGAGGAGGGTTATTCTCAATCTAGAAGACAACATCGTTGACCAACCGCTTGTGCATTTAAATCATTTGATATAGCCTCACCCACCCCAAAAAAGGGTGGGCTAGCATGTTGCCTCCAATCGCTCCACACAGCACCACGCAACATGGGCGTTGCATTGCCATCGACAATGTTCAGCTCCCTGGCCCCCTCAACATGAAAACAGTACTTTGTTTTCATATTTGGTATTTGTCAGGGAATCGTCTTTTCTATCACATATTCGAAATGTTGCCACTCTTCACACCAGTTGGCTAGTTGTACCTATAGGTCACATCCCCCCACATAAGGTCATGCCAATTTACATTTAATATAGTCCATTTGCACGTCATTTTGGCCCTTCTCACATGGTGCAGCTGTATGTGTAATATGGTCATGCCAATCGCCATGTCATGTAGTATGGGGTCACAGGTGCCTCTCAGCGCCTGAATGCACAGGCCAAGCATGAACCATGATAGGTTTGCGACCTCTCTAAAGCCATTTTCGCACTTCCACCATTGTCTTATCCCTTCCTTTCAGTTCGCATATCACTCTCTTAGTGAGAGAGTCTCACGACGATTGAAAGTCGCCATGGCGTCCATATCCTAAGGCAACATGCCCTGATGAAGACGGGGACCTTTTTGCATCGCACATAAGTCACCCTACTCATGAAGGAGAACCTGAAGCTCTCCATCCCTTTGGCGAGCTTCAGCCAAGGTCCCACCTTCATTCGACATAAAGAAATGGGCAGCAACTCTACCCTTAGCCTTGGCAATCTTTCTTTGAAAATTTTCATACGGCATGAGCAGCACTGGCTCGTTCTTCTCCTTCTTCACATGGTTCAGTTGGAAGTTGTGCCATGTCATGTCCCATGCAACTGCCAATCCCTTGTAAGCCATAACTTTAAGCTCCACAAAGGCACTCTCCACCAGCAAATCGGGCAACTCCTCAATGTCAGCATTGCAATGAAGCGACTCTCGACCCTCCGTCACCAGCCCACACAGGAGTTCGTCTTTGGCTTGAGCTGCCTCCCATTCACTGATTATAAACTCCCTCAAGTCCTTCCCCCTTTTCCAAGGGACGTCATACACGACTTCCCCATCTTCCAGGGTGACCTGAGGTTCCACACCTAGTTCTTGACTATGAGCGTACATGAAGTCACCGAGTTCTTAGACGAAAATTTCCACATCATGCGCCAAAGGGAGCTTGCGTAACGCCCTCCATTGCACAATCTTATCTTCGCGCCTTCCCATGTTGTTGAGAGAGTCAGGGCTGCCCATCATGAGCTTGGAGACAACTCAAGAACACTTCGCACGCTCTTGTGCACCGTTCCCATGACAACATGTGGCATAGAAAAGGCATATATGCAGATTCCTGCTATGAGGCCTCAACATCTTGCTACATGTCCAAAATAGACATTCTTGGGGTCTGTAGACAGGTCCTAATCTCCACATGAACATGGCATACCCATGTCAATTTCCAATGTACAGTATACCCTACATAACACCCATTTCAGGGGCAATTTTTCGCCAGATTCCCGTAACTTGGTCCCTAGAGCCCAGATTGAGCTGCGATTGCAGAATTCTATCAGTTCTGAAACTGCCCTGAGAAGCCTAAAATTGGTACGTACGTACTGAAATTTGATCGCTGAGTATGATAAAATCATCATACCAGGCATCTAGCTTGATATGACTGAGGTAGCTGACTCAGTGAGCGTTCTACAAAGTTGCAGGCACCCTGGTCACATCACACCTTCCCAAACTACACGCGAACCCTGCGGCGCCTGATCCACGCCCGATACTGCCCAATTCTACCACTCATGGCACCCCCACGGGCGGCCAGGCTGAGTCAGATGCCGGCAGTACATCTCTTTCAGCCCGGGAACCTCCCACGACACTGGGCCCCCGCACCGCCTCTGGTGGGCTCCGGAGGTGGGGCTTTTCGTCAGTAGAGCTTCCGCCAAACAAACGACCGCGCAGATGGGAAACGCTCCCCCAAGGCCGATGACTTTGTCGGGTTACTTTTGGCGCGGAGCCCCTGACTGATCCGTGGGGCTCTGCGCCGCGCGTCCGCCTATGACCTCTGGACCCGAGCCGATGGCGCCCTGGGGCGTTTCTTTCTGTGGCTTTCCAAAAACCTGCCAACCGTGCAGTTCAAGGGGCCTGCTTCCCTGCCGTGAATCAGCCTGGCTACTTTTCTTTCTGCTCTGATCGACCAATCGGCCGTGTGACCGCCAGCCTCCATTCTCGATCCCGCCTCCGACCACGGCTCGCCCGGCTCGATCAATGGGCGTTGCTCGGTCGATTTGGGCAGAATCGTTTCTCGTGGTGTCCTGACCCGCTGTGAGTGGGTTTGGGTGAGCCCTTTGCATGTCGAGCTGAGTCGGGGGCAGGAGAGCCCGTGTTGGGAGTCACCATAGATCGTGAGACTGGTCACAGTGTCAGTCCTTCCCAGATGCTGCGGAGGGTGCTGTACTCTGCCCGGTTGCCACTGGCCATGCGTGCATATCGTTTCTGGTATACGGTAGATGCTGAGACTGGCCCTGTTGCTATCCTGTGAGCCGCATATCGAGGCCCTGAACGTTGAGTGTCCTTGCCGCAGATTTCTGGGGCTTTTCTTTGGCATCACTGATCCATTCTGGTCCTCACGGGGAGCCAGCTGTGCAACTTAAGAACATGCTATTATGTTCTTTTATGTCCAATCATTATTGGCGACCCGAACAATCGCCGGTTGGAATTGCACTCGACTGAAATTCTGCCCTGTAGTATGAAGGCTGATGACCTGTTGATCACGATTTTTTTCCGTCATTCTGTGCAAATCAAATTTCCTTGCCACCTGTGAGGTGCATACATGATTCAATGATCTAAATGCGGCAATCAACGCACTGTTGCAGCCACAACAACGCAGAATCAGCAAAATCCCTGGACGTGGTTTACAGTCTCCCAAGACATTCTGGTTTGCCACCCCTCATGTCCCATCCCCTACCAACACCAGGCCAACAGTGCGCACTTTTCTGCCATTCCGCGTGGATGTACTTGGCTGTCGCACGATTTGGCGCTGACTATTCTTTGGGCAAAAACCGAAGTCGAGCGAAAGTGCAGGCGCTGTGTTCAAGTTCTCAGACACGCACATTGCACACTCTGCACAACTACCTACCCCTGGGGTGTGCGCCTTTGCGACAGGACTTCACACACGTCAGCGATACTCTCCCTTCAAACAATGCTCAAACTCAGAAATCAATGGCATGTATAAAAATGAGACCCCGCTGCTCTGCCACTGTTCGTATATGGGAAAGTTTTCATGGAAAAATGAGAAACCCACCTTTGACAGGTTCTCGTTGCCATAATTGCCAGACAGTCCAAGGTGGTCAAAGACTCTCTCCATGCAATCATCGTAATCTTTCTCCAAAGTTTCGTGTGCACATTCAGAGCCCAGGGCTTTTCTTGGCGATCCCTGCAATTTCGAGCGCCTCTGCACAGCTCGTCGCATGAAGAGTGGAATTCGACGAGGAGCCCTTCATCGATATCAAGCGCTTGCAGCACCGGTGCAGGTACCTGCACAGGTAAATGGATTAATTTCGCTGGAACATTGTAATTCAATAGCGGCACCGACCAACAGCATGTGCAATTGTTTGGATGAAGAGGGCCATGCGCATATCCGGTAAAATTGGATATTCAGGGCCAAAGGTTAACAGTCGTGAAATTATCTTCGCGAATGTGCTGTGCAAACGGGATACCATTGACGGGCAATTCACCACTTTCTACTGTATTTCGTCACATCCATCCACATAGCACAATACGGGAATCGAGCATACTTTCTTCAACACGTTGCGCTCGTCCAATAACAATGATGGCAGTGAAGGCAATATGCTGCCGCAACAAAGTATCGACAGTACAACAACATTGCTTGCAGCCAGATGCTGCAATATCATCACTCCACTACAAGGTAATCTGTTTACCTTGTAGTGTGGGGTGCTCGCGTAAGCCCGTTGAAGCGACAGCGGCAAAACTCCAAGAGCATCGGGCTTGGGCACATGCGGCCAATCTTCCGAAGGTGGCCCGCGTCAGTGGCAAAAGTATGACGGGATCAATATTTCAATTGGGTTTCTGACAACATGAACTACAGGAATATCGGGCACCTGTGACGCGCAATGCAGGTCTTTGAGACATATTATGCATCTGATTCATTTATGAGAATTCTCGGCGCAGTTGACGCATGTAAGATGTACCAAAGAAGAAGTCAGTTCCGCCAACACAGTCGCTGAGATGCAGCCAAGAAGAAAAACATGCCATGCAAAAGCAATTTCCCTAACCTGGCCGAAAATTCGCCTGCCATCCATACTACTGTATTGTGCAAATATATTCAGGAAGCCACCCACATGTTGCCACTGCGATTAGATATGTAAAAGCACACACTTTTTGTTTTTTGGACGAACATACTTTCTGCCTGAAGTATCAATGATACATATATTATGGAACGCAATTTCATGCCCTTTCTAGAGCCAACATGAACGAATAACTGTCGATCGCGCTCTGCGTCCTTCGCGCGTTCGCTGTTTTTTGCATAACTACATGCTGTTACAGACATCTATTGCGTTTTCACATGCTAAAACACACTGACGTGGAGGTAGCCGCACGCCCATATTCGAACGCATTGTAAAGCAATTCACATGGAGCCAATGCAAGTATGCTACACATTGTCACTGGAAATTGGCAGCTTGCGCTCCAGTCGATCACCCCCAGCGCTTCGCCCGCCGCCTTGCAAAGGGTGACGACGTTGTTGAAGAGACTGCGATCTTCCACCTATTCCAGCACGACCAGCTTCACCTTTCCCCACCCCCTAATGCACTTGAGCCCAAGGTCCATCTACAGGTGGAGGTTTTTTGGTGTTTTGAGCGCCATTAATGACGTTACACGCAATATTACGTGTAACAATGAAAAGTCACATTTGCGCCCGATGGTTGCAAGTAGAAGCTTATAAACAACCGGCCTGTTTGACCTTATCGAATGATTAATACCCAGGAATCTAAAAAGAGCATCTGAATCCCTAGCATTTCATCGTCTTCAGCCATCGCTGGTCGAATGCCATACGAAATTTGAGAGTGCTTTGAATAGTCAACCAGCAGACATATGCCAATTTCGCTTTTGCTTAAGAGGCTTTCAATAGAAACCAATAAGGATACGTCCAACCGTTTCATACCTCTTTCTGCCGATCTCCTAAGTTATTGCTTACACATGGAAGTGATTGACGTTTAATCAAAGCTATGAACACAAATGCATACATGCATATTTGCTCCAACTAACAAAATTTCCATGCCAGCATTCCATTTCCAGCATTTATGGAAGCTGCATGTGTGGTTAATTTGAACATCCTGGTGCCACCAACCCACCGCTGATGAGGGAACCTCCAGGCTGCACGCCTTCACTCAACACTCCACGTCGAAATCTCCGCAGTAGGCTCCGGGCTGCGGCCCTCCGGAGCAGGCCTCCCTGTACCCATGCATGCCCACCAGCAGCCTGTTGTTTGTGCTCTCATACGTCATGTATATCGCCGTCGTGGAGTTTTATGAGCTGCTCAAGTCGATTTGCCTTCCAACCTGTCGAAATCCTAGCTGAAGTATCTGGAAATTTCCCTCATGATGTACTGAAACAGGAGGGCCCCTGTCCGGTGGTGCGTGGAGAGAGCCGCGATGGAGGGCTCCTTGAAGATTGAGGAGCTGAAACGAGAGACTGTGCCGTGGGTTGGGCCTTGATGAATGACCCTGCTATGCAGAGACTCGCAACTGACTTCCTTCGTTCAAACTTGCCTGGGAACACAAGAGTGGTTAGCTGGAAGAAATAACGGTCCTATGCGCATCCCAAAACCGTTTTCTGATACCAGCAGCAGCAGTGATGCCATCTGAACAGGACAGCCGATGGCGAGGACGTTTTCAGGCGAATGTTTGTGCTGGCGGCACGCAGAAAATGCGATTGCCTGACCAGACCATCACCATAAAATTTGTGCTGTCCAGAATAATCATTGCAGACTATTTAATAATCTTATGGCACAACGATCGATTCATTGCACATCGCTGCTGTAAATTGGATTAATGCACCAGTACCAATTTTAGTGAAAACCTGGGGCGAGATTAACTATGAAAATCGACAAATTTGATGACGAGAGCCCCCCTAATCCTGCCAACGTCACAATTGAGCAATTCAGCATCAAGGACTCAACGGCAAAACAAGGCAACCATGCGCACTCCGTCTATGATCATATGCTCAAGCGCAAGCATTCTAGTGTGCGCAAGATGTCCGACACAGTCGAGGATGGACAGAGTCATGTTAGCTCAATTGCTCATAAGGGCCAATGCATCGCTACGTGCACAATAACGTTCATTCCATTTTCCGATCTTGATCCGATTTCCGATGGCGTATCAGTTGCATTACTTGATGAGGTGCTCGCCTTCTCAACCCGGACAGGCTCGATTCATATATTGAATGCTGAGCCATCAGCATCAAGCATCAGAATATCACTATGCACGCAGTTGTCAGCCTCTTTCTTCACAAGGTTGTCAGGCGCGACGTCCACGTCCACTTCAGTGATGCGTCCTTTCCATGCTTATCCTCTTCTGATGAAGCCGAAGGGCGCGGCGAGCTTTCCGATGTTCGCCGTATTGTAACCTTGCCACTCGGGGGCATTCTGATCATGTCCCCTCTGTTCCATGTACATCTGGCCCACTACCTCATAATATCGTTAACATCACCACAAGTTGTGGTGAGACGATCCTTGAGCAAAACCACAAGAAAATGATGTATCAACGGAGTTGTACGAAGTTGTCATTCGAAAGACAGGGCTCGATAAAAGGGAGCCCGCCGTTCACGAAGTTGTAACGCACCGCGTGTTTGCTCCTTGGGCGTACGAAGCGCCGAATGATATTGTTAGAACCAGACTTGTTGTGTAGCTTACGGTGTCGTTATCACGTCAGCATATCCATGGCTACGTATGCGAAAAAATAGATGGAAGCCGGCTGACGCACAAACAAATATCGCATTTAAGTACATTTGTGCTGGACCAACGCAACCATGCTACACAAACTCACGAGTCCACCTTGCTCCCACATAGATGCTAAGCTGTCAGATGCATGTCAGATGAACGCGGAGGTGAGCACATGCTGCTTTGCCTATTCCCGAAGAGTGACGGGACAGCTGCACATTGGTCGTCTCGTTTTCAACACAATCATTGCATCAGATTAAGGGACATGAGTGCAAATGGCGACCCGTGACGCACGGAAGAAGAACAAATCCAAGGAGCTCCAAGATTCTTGGTGTTACATAGTTACATACTATTCTGAATACTATTCATCAGCCGATCGAGAACCGGCTCGATAGAGCTTGGTGGTCTTCGACACAATGTGGAGACAGAATGTGGCACTGGGCACGGGCCCAGGCAGATGGCTGCTGTTTCGTAGACATTTCTGGGCATCAGATATAAAAATAATCATTTGCTCATGAAAATGGAAACGTGCGTTGTGTGTGGAGCGTGTCTCAAGGAGCTGGAGAAAGCAAAATGCAGTTGCGAAACAGCGCCTTGCCATGTAAAATTTCATGACGATGAATAAACAGTGTGATTGGGGATGTGGTATCGACCACAGAAGAACAATACACGGGAATTAACAAGGGCAGATTCTCGGTGGAGGAACAGGATGCCTGCCTTGTAACAGACACTTCTTCAGGCGTCTCTCACTTGCGCAAATGGAAAAGCAAACTCAGTCGATTGCAAAAATCAACCCAGTGCAACATTCTAGAATCCCAGAAGTCTCTTCTGCCATTCCTGTCACAGAAATCCTGTGGACCATGCGACGTCTGAACCTGAAACGCCAAACGTGAAGTCAGAGTAGTGACGCCCCGTTCCTTGAATACCACCAAGACACTGACAAATGCTGCAGGGCATTCAGTGTGCGAGCAGCAAAATGAGCTCAGTACTGACATTCAGCACGGCCTCCTCTGTGCAACCAACAGACAACCGCCCCAATTCTGTCCTTGATACTTTTCCAGTTCCTGCTGCAGTGGGCAGCGTGGCAAGGGGTTGCCTCAGAGGAGCAGGCGTGTGGTGGGCCATCCGCTGTGAATCATTGGCAGCATGTAGCAGTCCAAGCTGGACGTCGCAATGGGCACGCCAAAGCATGGCAGTGAGTGGGTGGGTCAGTCGACCGCATCTCGGGAGCAGGTCCCGTCACGGCCTACAATTGATTGCCATCCTCCCACATGATCGGCACGCCATCCTCCCTCCAGGAGATTCGTCCTTCACAGAGGGCAGCCACACAAGCTGGATACACCAAGTGCTCCTGCTCCAACACCCTGCCTTGCACATCCTCAGGGGCATCTGATGGGTACACTGGGACCACCCTCTGGGCCAGGATTGGACCCCGGTCGAAATCTTCATCAACAAAATGGACTGTGGGGCCTGACAGACGCACACCAGATGCCACCACAGCTTCGTGCACATGCATTCCAAAAAAGCCCGCTCCCCCAAATGATGGCAGGAGGGCTGGGTGGATGTTCAGAATCCTGCGACGGTATGCCCGAACGACTTCAGGAGGGATGAGTCTCAAGTACCCGCCCAGCAGAATGTAGTCCACCCTGAATTGGTCTCTCAGGGCAGTCAGCAACACATCAGGATGCACGCCTTCAATCCCAAGCTTTTTTGAACTGGGGTACAAAAGGGTTGGGATGTCCTGTTCTCGGGCATACTGCATGCCCCCACACTTGGGAACGTTGCTCACCACCAGAACGACCTCGGCTGAGATTTTGCCTTTGCTGCAGGCTGCATGAATTGATTTGAAATTGGAACCAGCGCCTGAGACAAACATCGCAAGGCGAGACTTGCAGCCCCCTGCTGAGCCATCGTCGACCATGGCAGCTGTACTGGCTGTGAATGTTCGAATGGCCATCTGTGTCCGAGGTTCTGACCCCAACAGCTGCCATTGGATTCGCTGCAGCGCCCAACCTTGATGTTGCAAGATGTTTGGACAGAGACTTTTCTGCTGCAGGACAGATGTGAACATCTGGCTCCCTGCAGATCACAATAAGAGCATTTCGCGTCTGTCAAAGGAGGTGGATATCGAAGGACATGCCCAAGAAATGCCAGTTCATCAACCAAAGCTCTGACAGCCGTCGTCGATCAACTCGTCTACCTAAACGCTTGTGTGCCAATGCACTGGCACAGGATCGGTAACTCGCCGCAATCCAGGCTCCGCAACAAAGCCCTCAGCTGCCGAGGGACCTGCCCAACGCTTTGAATCGCCCTTTTGGGAGCAAATGACCACAGTGCGTGGCTGCATTCGGATCGCAATTGATGCAGAGCCTTACAATGCGTCCCGAAATGCCAACCAGCACGGACCTGACAAGCGCGCCCCGATGTCAAGCCCCGATCTCAGCCTGGAGAGAATAGATTTGCCCGCCATGCGGATGGCAACCTGCACCGAACACGCCAAGCACAGGCCTCAAGGCAATCCCCGCCCACCTCCCTCCAAAAGCTGCAAACGGCGTGATCGACCGCCACCGATTCGCTGTGCACCACTGCCCGCACCTCAACTCACCAAACCCACCGGCGACGGCCAGCAAATGCCGAGCAGGTCGCCAAGGCCATGGAGGATCCACGCGATGGGCAACCCGTCGCCCCTGCGGCGTCCAGCGTCGCGAAATACCGGAAGTGCGCGTCGCAGGCTTCAGCGCAGGGAGCGTGGTGCAGGCGCCTCGATCGTTGGTGTGTGGCAAGTCCGCCTGCCGCACCGACACCGGCTGAGACTGAGCAAGTTGTTGCGTCGATGTCCAAACCGAGTACGCACCCCAGGCCGGTGCCGGTGCCAGCCGGCAACTAACGGGGTGCGGTGATGCGATGCTGCGATGTGCGGCTGGTCTCGTTTAGTAACCTGGCTGTCTGCGAAAAACTACAGGAAAGCGGGGCAGGAAGACTGTGCTCCCACCCACTCTGACCCCCCTGGATCCGGAGGGAGAGACTCGAGGAAAACATGCACCACTTGAATACCGTGGGTTCTTAATCCCTTCCGCATCCGTAAATTTTCCTGTTGCGCTTTTAGCTCCGCATTTCGTTTCAGAGCGTTATTTGCATTTGTTTTACGTTGCTCCGCAAAATTTTTTGTTAAAAGAGCGTTATTCATTTTATTGTTTTCTCCGAAGAAAAGGGCCAAGCGCTACGTTACCATGCGGAAGGGCTTAAAATCCTACGGTAAGTGGACGCATTGTGTCCCCAAGCACTTTCAGGTGACGCCCCTACGGTGATCAGCGTGTCTTCCCAGCTGGGCCACAACAACGCCACCAGTTCCAGACAAACAGCCAAGCGATAGACTGAGCTGAGGTATACAATTGATCGCTTCTTCCGGAGCTGTCTGACAGAGGCAAATGACCAAAACAACTTCATCCACTGTATTGTGGTGGTCTAGTGTCCTGGCGTCCAGTGCAGCAGCGCATGCGTGTGCATGTCATCTGCTGATGCTGTGTAGCACCTATTCAACGTAGGTTGGACTACCTGGACATAAGGAAGAGCGGTTGCAATACAGTTCAGTCACAGGTTGTACCATGCCCCAGAACATTCCCCTCTTGGCTCACTGACTTCCACTTTGCCAACAGCGATTGGGGCACAGTTCGGTAGCAGGTTTCACCATTGCTATTGTGTCCAGAAGTTCCTCATTTAGCACATTGACCTCCGCTGAACATCAGAGTTCACAGATGCAGGCCAGCTACAGTAAGCTACTGGGGCACTGGTACTTGGCACATTTGAATGGTGCACTTGGTTAACCACGTGTGCTGCGAGGACAACTTGGATGTTGTGCTGCAACAGCCAGTACACTGGCACCAACATAGTTCCCTCAGGAACTTGGAATAAGGAAATCTGTACACTAAGAATCCATTCAATTGCTTTCTCTCAACATAATCTGTCATTTCCATACGACCTGCCTTGAAAGATGCCCAACATACTATGTGTACACTGCGTGGCTGCAACCTGGTCTGATATTCACTCGTGCCATGTGCACACAAGTTGTGGCCACAACTGACATCCACAGTTTACACGTCTGACAACAAAAGCATGTCAAATTTGCACATCCTGTACATTGTCATGTCTCCACGCAGGGCTGTTGCTCCTTGTTGCATAGCTGTACCCAGCTTTGGACCCATGTGGTAGCTTTGCAAGAGCTGTAAAAGGCAGCATACCCTTTTGCATTTGTTTCAACAAACGAGCTGCTTGCATGAGCACAGGTCATGGCAACAGAAACAAAAGTTCATTCGCTCACCTACCACCAACAGCCTTTTAAATCTGCACATGGCAATATTGACTGTTGGTGCACACTGCACAAAACATATCCAAACTCTATGAGATGAGCCATCGCATTGGGTCAAGTACTCTGACTGTCTTCCTCATGTACACAGAGTCGATGCGAGCCACTTCCAGTGCCAATATCAAAGGAACGTAGTACCACAAAGCATCAATCATTCAAAGGTTCAATTTTCTCACCGACCAGACGCTGGAAGCCGCACAGCCCAATTCCCATCGCCTAATAACTATGTCGAGCACTCCACTGCATGGACACCAGACATGCAGGAAGTCCAGTGAGCCGGCGCACAGAGCGCGAGCATTGTTGTCAACCCCAGGCAAATGCTGCAATCACAAATGGCGAATCCTGCACAGCACATAAGAGAGGCCAACGGCGCTCTCGATGCGTCCAACAAGCAACCGCCCCAAGAAATCCTGAACCGATCCACGCCGCCCCGCCATCCACCGCACCCCATCCCTCCACATGGCCCCAACAGGCACGCAGATCACGCAGTGTATTTCTCCTTCGTCCTCCTGTCACCCTTCATCTGATCATGGTGCGATTGGAACGCAATCTGCGTGTCGCTGGGGATCGACAGGTACTCCTTGACCTGCCTGGCGATGCTCATCTGCGCCTCCTCGTTGCTGGCCGTCCGCGTCCACAGCTGCATCCTGTTCCCCCTGCTGCGCACGCTCACCATCAGCCCGCAGATCTCCTCCCCCTCCTGGAACTGGTCCCCGACGCACGCCATCACGGCCTGCATCCACAGCTCGTCCACGTCCGACGCCTGCCTGCCCATGTCCTTGGGGTTGATCGTCCAGGACCCCCCCTTGTCGTTGCGGGGATCCTCCCACTCCGGCTCTATCCCCTCCTTGAACAGGCAGTAGTCCGTGTTCGGCGAAAACTCGCTGGGCGCCTTGATGTTGTTGAACAGCCGCCAGAAGTCCTCCACCGTGCTGAACGTGTACACGCGCCGCCGCGTCTGCCCGTACGTCGTCTGCGACTGCCCCTTCTGGTGGGAATCAAACCACAGAGTCCACTTGTACTCCAGCAGGTGGTTGCCATCGGCATCCTGCTCCCCGACGGCCTCGCTCTCCGCCGGTGCGGCAGCGGGGGAGGGCGCGGCGGCCTGGGCGGCCCCCGCCGCGGGTGGAGGATCGGCATCCCCGGTGCTAACTTCGGGCGCAGGCGCGCTGCTCTGCTCCTCCGTCGCTGTCTTTTCTTCGGTCATCTTCGTCAGCCGGCGGTCGCTGGAAATGGGTTGCTTGGCAAGGCACGGCGATCGTCGGCGAAGGGGAGTGGTTTGGATTCGGCCTGGCGATGGGGCCGGAAGGGGGCGGGCCACGGAATGCGGCGCGGCTGACTGATTGAGGGCCAATCTCGGACATTATGCGGAAGTTCGGTTTGCGGGCGGAGAAGTCCATGAAGAAGCCAAAATCTGGAGAGAATCGTGGAAATGAACGAAACCATTTGTGCACTGATTGGCGACGCATTGCATCGGAATGCGTTCCCGGCGCTCCGTCTTGCCGAGAGAACCGAAGCACCGAGACACGCATCGCCTTGTGTGAATTCGTTCCGCTGCTGTCGCCGCAATTGGCCCTGGGAACCGACAATGTTTTGCAAAACACAACACGGCTGCTCCGCGGTTGTTCGTGTCATCTGTTCAGATGTTGAGTGCTGCCCACAGTCCCTCTTATTTCGGCAGAACGAATTCTGAGTTTGACGTGCATCGCTGCCACCACTGCGCCAAAACAATTCCTGGGAAGAAAACGCAACACCGCGCTCGGAGAAAAGTAGCCACACAAAGCTAAACTACGTGGCTCCTTTTGTGAGGATAAGATTCCACAACACACAAACTTACCTGCTACAATCTGTCAATGGCCCCTTCATTCACACTCTGCATGGGAAACAGCACAGCAGCTGCATTCGTTGCAGCATGCTGCCCACTCAAGCCACAAGCCCTCCAGGCTAAGATCACACCCTTTCTGAGCTCTCTTCTCCTATGCAATCTCCCAATGTCAACTCAATCAATTCAAGCACATTTTGCTACATCCAGTAATTGTTGCATAACCCTTTTGGTGCCTGCTGCCATGGTGCACTCCTCGTATGGCAGGCCGTGCCTCTCGCACAGCTCCTTCACTCTTTGCCTAACCTTCTTGAGATTGTGGCGAGGCAAGGTGGGAAATAGGTGGTGTTCAATTTGGTAGTTCAGCCCCCCCATGAACCAATTCACCCACTGCGTACCGACGATGTCCCTTGTGGAAACGATTTGCGACGTCACAAAGTCCTTGGTGTCCGAGTAGATCTCCATGCCATTGTGGCTCTGAACAAATGCGAAACTGAGCATGAATCCGCTGAGCACTTGGCTGAGGCAAAGGTACGCGACGGCCTTCCATGGCGACAACGAGCCCAGCACCACGCCAAAGTACCAGGCATAATGCAATCCCAGAAAAGACAGCTCCCCCCAGCCCTTGCCGTGCTCCAGTCTCAAGGTCAGGACATGGGCAAAGCTCTGCTGCAGCCACATCACCCTGGCGAGGCACAGGATGGGCCAGAACAGCCAGTGCTGGCAGCGTATGAGGCTCCTGTACGCGCTGTCCGGCAAAGTGTCCAGCATGTCCGCGCTCCAGGCCAGCAGGGGTAGGGTGTCGATGTCCGGATCCACCGCGAACTTGTCCCCATCCAGCTCGTTGGGCACCGCATGGTGTTGGTTGTGCTTGTTCTTCCACCAGTCCACGCTGAAGCCCAGCCACAGGTCCCCCACCATGTACCCGAACAGGTTGTTCCACGCGCGATTCTTGAACACCTGGTGGTGGCAGAAGTCGTGCGCCAGCCAGCCGCACTGTTGCCAGAACAGGGCCAGCAGGAATGCCGACAGCAGCGCGTACCGCCACCGGTCGCCGGAACACACCAGCAGCGCGATCGCCGTCGTCAGGATCGCCAAATTCATAGTCACCTTCCAGGAGTAGAACACCTTGTCGCTGTCGAACAGCCCTTCCGCGATCAGCGCACTCCTCAGCTTCCTGAAATCGGTCAGGATCGCCGGCTCCGCGACCTCCCGCCGCAGATCTCCGATGCACAACTTGCCCAGCCTGTGCCAGGAGGCGGGCGGGTGGAAGCAGGAGAACACGTCCGATGCGTCGCGCCCGCCCTGCGTGAACACCACCCGGCCGCCCGGGTGGACTCTCCCGAACTTGGTCACGTCGTACACCCTGCCTCGAATCACGATCCAGCAGTCCTGCGGGCTGTCATGGAGGGCCACCTCCTTCATGGTGAACGACCGGCGCCCCTGGCCGGCGGTTTGCAGCTCGCCGTGGGATCTTGAGCGCCTGGCGGCGCCGTCGACGTCAATGGGGGCCTTCTTTTGCCGAGACCCGGTGGCCCAGACGAACTGACAGAGGGCCAGGTATGCCCAGCTTAGGGCGGAAAAGGCGCCTGCCGCCGATCCTGCAGCGGCCGCCATGGGATTGGGGTAGCGGAAGGGGCGGAGGCGGAGAGGCCGCAGGCGGGTGTGGGCGATACGGATGGGTGCGCCGGTGTCCGCGGACCCCTCTTGGACAGTGAGAGGGCAGTGGGGTGCGTCGACCCCCAATCTGTCGCGAAATTCGAGCCCCGTGGTGTCCGGAACGTCATCAGGTGTGAAGATGATCCACCTATTTCTCCTTCATTGGTGTGACCCGCAACGGGCCACGCTGCAGAACGGGAACGGAAGGTGTGCCCATACACCGTGTCCACCAGTACAACGCACGTCCATTTTGTGCAGTTGTGGTATGTTCTGATATCAAATGGCAGGGGCGTCGACAGGTTTGGCGCGCTTTGGCCTGTGCACAGAGCCCATTCCATGTTCAGGGAATTTAATGAAGGGAGTGGTGGCCACCTTGAGGCCGGCTCGCTGCACCTTTGGGTTCCCTTTGCCGGCTTCTCCACAGGCCTGATAGAACCCAGATGGAGTGCGGTGCAGGGAGCGATTCAACAGCCAGGAGAATGGCAACGGACTATCTTGTATGTGTTGAATGGCCATAGCGTGTGACTGCCTGTCAAGGCTGATGAGTCACGGCCACGTGTGCACACTCTAGAGGATATGCCCAATCCAGATCCCCAAACAAAGGGATCCCAAGGACACACAACAACCTATTACTACTCCAGCTGCAAAAACACAGGTCAGCTGAAAGCAAACTGGACTGGAGATAGGACCAGCAGTCACACCCGTCACAGGCTGTGACGTGACGGGTGCTGCTTCCCTTTCCTGCCTATTCTGGTAGCGCCTTACACGCTCAGAGTTCCACAGAAAATTCAATTGCCCTTTCAGTCTGGCTATTTCCCTGGCCAGACTAGCAAGCTGGAGAGATTCCCCGTGCATTAAAGGGCAAATGAGGAGTCTGATTAATGCACCTACTTTCCGAATTAGTCCTGCAGCCCCCGCTGCCAATACTGGTCCTTGGATAATCAAATTGATACTCGTTAAGGTTAGCAGAGCAGAACCGACTGCCTTACAAAGTTGGGACAGTTGGTTAGGGCTTATAAACACCCTTGTCAAATCCTTTATATGATTTTCAGGATTTTGGACACCTTCAAACGAGATCAGCACGTCATCAACATACAACTGGACGTCCAGTTTTTAGAACTAACGTATTAAAGCTCTGTGCGAGTCAGTTTTCAAAGACTTTCTCTGACAGCTCGTTCCAGCTTTTCCGCAGCTTACGAGCTTGACCTTCTTTCAAAGATGGCCTCTGAGTCTCCTGTGTGTCTTTATACAGGTCAGCCTTTACAGAAGCTGGGGGGCACTGGGATGACACAACTTTTACCACAGGAGTTTGAACTCCGATTTCCTGGTTCAGTTCTTTGGGGCTTTCCTCAGTCTGACTCATGCCTTAGAATCTTTCATTGGACAACATTTAGAGGAAAACGAACGAGACTTGTATGTTTCCAGTCTTGTAATAGATTCGCACTCCTTTCAGCCTCTATTTCCCTTTAGTACTGGACCTTGCTGAGGCAGTACTTTTTCAGTTTCGGACTGTCCTTGACTAAGCGCAGAATTGACTCAACTCTCCCTTACCTTGATTACTTACCTTCCTGTTCTGTCGCTTCCAGTCGTGCCCAGACCAGTTCCCACTTTAAGGGACCAGATTATCCAATAGCCTTTTCGACAGGCTTCCAGGATCGCGGTATGTACTACATATCTTTATCTATTCAATACTTTAGCCTTTACCTCTGTACTTTAGTGGGAGCCCCGAAGGCTTCCCCACAAAGCACAGGGCCGGACCTGGGACCCCGCAGGCTTCCCCAGTAGATCCGGCCAAGAGACTTTACTAGATTGATAGACGGTTTGGGGCCCCGCAGGCTTTTCCAATAGACCGGTCTATAATCAGTAAATGACTCTTTAGATGAGACAAAGATTGAATAAACGCACTCCGAAATTAATTACACCGTGACCCTCCACGGGCCACAACCTGTACTATAAGGAGTTGTTCAAGTTTTAGGTCACGGATCCTCATACAAGCCATTTTAGCCGCCCGGAGTGAAGCAGCTTGTCGAGGGGTTTTGCAACCCATTGTTATACGACTCTTTGCCCCGTGTCCAGGGCACCGGAATATTTAAAGGGTTCCTCGATAGCTTCCGGATCATCTCTTGTCTGGAAGTCAACTTCCGCTCAAACCCGATGGGGGCAGCGATCATAAGCCCTAGCTACCCCGTCATTCCCAGACATTATTATCCTTTCATACCGCCTGAGTCAAATCCAATTCTCTTGAGTATGACGAATTCGTCGCTTCTCCATGACACTACTTTCGGTAGTCAGGCGGCACCGTACCCCTGCTGATTCAACACTCAGAGTTATGATTACCTTGCTTATTAAAACGCCAGACCAAACATTCAATAGTTAGTCAACAATACCTAGTTATTGACCAGCTAGCGATACCCACTTTATCATGCACCGTACCGCCTCAGACCAGCTGGGGTATGACAGCCCAGTCATCCCCTCCGTTCTCCACCAACCCTTCAGCATCGACGCTAGGGTCCATGTCGGTCTCCATGTCGTCGTACACCAGCAAGTCCGCTTCGTTAGCGCTGTCCTCAATCACGACGTAGCCCCTCTGCGCCTCTCCAGCGACCGTCGCCGTCTCCACCTGCTCCGCGCCGACTCCAGCCGCTTCCCTTCACCATCAGCGACGTCCTCAGCGCCTCCTGACCCTGCCCCACCACCTGCTGCCCGATCGCGCATGCCCCAAGCCATCCGCCGCTTGCGATCACCTGATTCCATCCTCGTCCGCTTCCCCATACCTCCGCAGCGGGCGCCAGCGCCTCGATCGCGCCCTCCATCGCTGAGCAAGCCTTCCAATCCAGCACCTCGCCTTGCCTTCCGTCATGCCATGGACTCCAACATCCCTTGGGGCCATCGTAGGTTCGGCTGGACATGCAAGTCCACGCATGGCGCGACGAATCACAGCCATGCGAGCAGCACCGCCACGCCAATTCGACTTCGCCATCGTCATCGTCCTAGCATCTTGGCAGCCGCGCTATCGCAGCCACGTTCAAGTCTATCACTGCAAGTCGCCACCGTCGTGCGTGCGCCTCAGAGGCGCCCCACAGCTCGGAGTCCAAGGTTGTCGTACGACATCGAAGGCAGCTATGACACATGACACATTGCGGCAGCTGTGGGAGCGCACCCAAGGTACGGGATGGTACCCGTGCATCCATCCGTATTAGGTTGACATGAGTGGCGTGCACTCCACTCAAGGGTGTGACGTGAAGGGTGGCGTGGGCATAGTCACACATGACAGCCCGTCAGGCTGTCATGTGAGCGACCCAATACTATGTTCAGACCAAGCCTGGCCCATGACGGGCATGGGCAACATACGGCCACTTGCCATAGCGCTGAAGTCATATCATAAGACAGCGTCAGGTCTATTCTTGGGGTGCCCATGGCTCAGCAAATTTGCACCCAATCCCAGAAACGCGTCACCGTCAAGGCGAGCTATTGCAGGTAGTCGAAATCTCGTTTTAACAAACTACACATCACATTCCGTCAACGCCTTTCCCTTTGCTGTCATACGTTCCTGTTCATCGTATTGACATTGTCCTACGTCTATTTCAGGGAGTAACTTTTCCAGGATGCCATCACAAAACTAACAATAATGTGCATCCACGCACCTACTGGAGCAGATTACCCTCATTATTATCATTAAGCTGATTCATACACAACGGACCAGTGGATCGGTGGGCATACATCTATTCCCATTATTAAGCTACTGTCAAAGCTCTTTATCCGAAGCACCTAAAGTTCCATTCTTTTCTTTTATGCGCCGTTGCTGATCATGGTATACTATCACCATTTAATTGCTATGCTCATCTTTGGTTATATCGTCATGTACCATCTGTATCCCCTTTCTTTTCTTCAACCGTAACAACCTACTATTAGCGTGGAGGCTAGCCGGGGCTATCATCAAGTTTTGGTATTCGCCCTTTTCAGTTACTTTAGTTTGTAAGCGGCAGGTGACCTTCAACTGTATCACTGCCGATCAGTGGCATGTTCAAAGGGCAACCCTCTTTATCAGCCTTTGCCCATGTGTCCCGTTGACATCCCTGGGCTGAACGCCCTAAGGCGTTCCATTCACGTACACAGCCGGTTATCCTTCCTCGGCCAATTCCTTATGCAGACTACAATTACAATGCACAACATCAAACGATCGTGAAGTTCAAACCCTCGGACCTTCTGAGAACTTAAGACAGCTTGTGTCCACCCAATTCAGTTTCCTGACGCTGCCTTTCTCCAGCAACTATTCATCGCCTTCATGAAAAGCTTCCAGCAGTTATGCATAGGAACCTTCAAGCTTCGGCCGAGCGTTATCGATGATCTTCAGCGCACCCAGATCTGAGCAGCCACTTAGGAATTGTGGCATGCAATGTTCCCTTGGTCTTTCTCCTACAACCATTTTCCAGGCAGCAAGTTAGGCACTATAAACTGTCAAGGCATAACAACCATCGGATATTTTCTTGATATGCCGTTTGCACAGTAGCTCTCCCTTGTTCTTTTTATAAACGCATATCTGTTTTTTCTTGGCTGGCTTCCTTTTTCTTTTCTTGTTCACCCTGACTGGCTGTTTAACATTGGCCCAGTCAGCTGCCCTATGTCAGTCATGAGCCCGCTTACGAAGTGCCGGTGCTCATGACTAACGGCAGTTTTAACATATGTGTTCGAAATCCAATAGGGCCACCACTGCTGTCATGGAAGGTTGGCGGATGGGCGAGGCACGCGGCACACAATGACGCCGACACAATGGCGTACAGAGACGTCAATGCAGAGGCCTGGTGGTGGTGGTGATGCAACTGGAACTGTTTGAGTATTGTTAACAGCTAACAAGTTAATGGCTTAAACAGTTAACAGGATGCATAAAAAAGTGGTGAGGCACTGCATTAAGGACATTGATGAACGGACTGGATATGTGGACAGACCTCCTGTTTTCCCTTTGCTGGGCTGTGAACCGTTGCCGAGGACTCGAGCCTACCGGCCCCGTCCAGGGGTCGCCACCCCTCGACCCTTGCTTGCCTTCGTCATTGGGGGGATGGCAATTGGAGGTGTATTTAGCCAGTACCAAAAACGGCTGCTTCCAGTACCAAATTTCAGCCAGTACCAAAAGTGAATGCTCCCAGTACCAAATCCGCCCCAGTACCAAAAACGGCTGCTTCCAGCACCAAAAACGGCTGCCGCCAGTACCAAATCGCCCCAGTACCAAAAACGGCTGCTCCCAGTACCAAATATAGCTGCGCCCAGTACCAAATCATCCGTAACCTTGACTCGCCCAAGGCGACTCGCCTGCCTCACTAGTGCGACCTTGGGCGATGCAAAGCAACGAAGACAGGGGCTGTGCGCCCCTCCACCGTCGCGCGAGGCCATATGGAGCGTCCGGCAGCGGCGGCTGCATTCAGCACCCACGCGGATGGGGATCGAGAGCATCGGCGAGGATTCCTAGTGCTCGCGTGGCGACGGGAGCGGGGGGATCTGCAGATCGTGGTTCCAAATCCGGCAGGGTGCAGATGCCTGCACATAGCCCGAGCCTGCGTGGGCTAGAAGGGGATTCCGCGATGTTGCAGACGGAGGCGCCGGCGTGCCTCCGTTTTGGCGAGCTTGTTGGTTCGCAACGGACGGGTGGTGTGTCTACAGAAGGGCTGGGGCAGCGGGCCTCCCCAGGAGGCCGGGGGAGGTGCAAGATCTGCAGCGGATCTCGCTGTATGCGCGGCGAAGCGTGCTTCCCGCTTGGGCGCTTTATAGGTGACGAATGTTGCCAGCCGCGATAACCTGATTGGCACCCACGGGTGGCACCAATCGGTGGCAAGGAGGGGCGAGAATGGTGGGAGTGAGTAGCCACGTTCGGCCTCCCACTCCTGCCGTTTTGTGGCGTTTGTTTGTGGCCATTCGTTGGGCACCGCGGGGGCCACAGTCCGCCCTTGGCGTTTGCCCCCTGTGGGCGCGGACTGGTGCCACTCGCGGGTCCAATCGGGGCACCCGCGGGTGGCACCAATCGGTGGCCAGGAGGGGCGAGAATGGTGGAGTGGGAGACAACTTTCGACCTCCCACTCCTGCCGTTTTGTGGCGTGCTTTGTGGCCACGCTTTGGGCCCCGCGGAGGCTACAGTCCACCCTTGGGGTTCGGCCCCTGTGGGCGCCGAATGGTGCCACTCGCGGGTGCCAATCTGGGCACCTGCGGGTGGCACCAATTGGTGGCTACGAGGGACAAGAATGGCGGGAGTGGAGGCAACTTTCGACCTCCCACTCCTGCCGTTTTGTGGCATGTTTTGTGGCCACCTTTTGGGCCCCGTGGAGACCGCAGTCCACCCTTGGCGTTCGCCCCCTGTTCCAAGCGGAACTGCGGAGGGTAGGCGCCAGTCCCCACTCCCACGACTTGGCCGTTTTCGCAGGGGGGGGCACGGGGGGCGCGGCTCCGTTGTCCTCCGTTGGGGCGTCGTTGGGAATAGGCCTGGGTGCCCTGCCGCCTGTTGCTCCACAGCCCCGTCCTCGACATAGCTGTCGTCAGTTTGGTACTGGGCGCAGCTATATTTGGTACTGGGAGCAGCCGTTTTTGGTACTGGGGCGATTTGGTACTGGCGGCAGCCGTTTTTGGTGCTGGAAGCAGCCATTTTTGGTACTGGGGCGGATTTGGTACTGGGAGCATTCACTTTTGGTACTGGCTGAAATTTGGTACTGGAAGCAGCCGTTTTTGGTACTGGGGAAATATATCTCCGATGGCAATTCGCCTTGGCAGTCCAAAAAATGTGGAATCGCGCTGTCAAATGGGCTTGCGACCTCCCCGCGGTGGCGCACCCGCGACACCGGCCGTGGTCTCCTCAGCTTTCCACAAGGCGAGGACCCCAGCCACCGCTATGAAGTCCGCCGCCACCATGAGGTCAGTGCACACCTGTTGCAGATCGTCTGCCTTGTCCGAATTGTGGCTCACCCGGCCATCGCACCCACCATCCATGCTGCGCAGTGCCGCCAGTCACACTACAAAGCCAAGGGGCCGACTGCCTGTTGTGTTCAAAGCCCACTTGCCTCGCAACACACTGGACTTTGAAGTAGAGAACGACGTGGGTTCGTCATTTTCTGGGCATCGTTGCATGCCTGGCACGCAAGGAGGTAATAGGAACGGCGCCTGCGCGACATTATGCTGGGCAACTCGCCTCCGTTGGGCGCTGACGCCCTCACCTGTGCCTCTCAGATCCGTCAGTGCTCGGGGCTCCCTGGTCGACAGCTCTTTCAAGGCAAGGTCGCCATACCTCGTCATCATGCGGCTCCGCCAGCACTCACCACCCCCCTCCTGAGTTCGCGCAGTTCCGCCTGACGGCCTCGACGGCGCCATTGGCCAACCGAAGCAGGCGTCCTGGAGCGCCACAATCTTCGTGCGAACGGTCATCTATCGCTGGCATGTGTCACTAAAAGCGTCACTGGCTGTCTTGTGCCCAGGGGCCGGGGAAGGTGGTGTTCGCGCAGGTGGCGGCCAGGCGGGTACGCATCTCCGTGTTCACAGACGACCGAGAAGGCACACACACAAGAAAAGGCCACACTTGCCGTCCAGCATATGCCCAGCCGCTCCCGCTGTGTGGATAACGATGGAGCCACGCGTTGTGTCTGCCCGACTGCAGCGCGAGGTTCTGAGCGCCTCGTGTTTGTTTGCAGGGGAGGCGCGCGGGTGCCCGTGGGTCGGGTCCCGTCTCCGTCGTGGCAGAGGACAGGCCGATCATCATAGGCCTGGCTGCCGACTCAGGTGCGTTCCCTTCAGCCCTTCGCGCGCAGCGATCAGAGGGCGAGGTTCGCTGCGCCGCTGCTCCTGCGGCGTCCCAGTGCCCGGCGGAGGCCTGGATGCTCCAGCAAGGCCGGAGGCCTTTTTAGGTGCTTGCTGCTGACGAGCGACCAGGCTGGCCGGATGTCCACCGCTGATTGGGAGTGGCAGGGCCTGATGTGCGGTTTGTGGGCGAGCAGGGTGCGGAAAGTCCACATTCATGAGGCGCGTGACGGGCGTTTTCGGCGGCACCCCTCATCCCCCTGCCGGTGAGCACTTCCTGGGGCGCATCCAGCCGCGCATATTTGCCCGATACGGGTCGGGCAAATCACAAACCGATAGGGCCAGCAGTAAATGGCGCAATGTCCTGCGGACTGGCAATGTACAACACTGTTGGACCCCTTTTGAGCGACGTCATTTGGTGTCAGCAAAAATGTCAAGAAAATCCCCCCCCCCCCTTGGGCAACACAGAACCAGTGGTGCTGCCGCAATTGCCCCACTGTACTTGGGAGGATGTCATGTCGAATCGGCGTTTCAGCTGTTGATGGGAAACAGCTCTCGCCTGTGCGTTAACACTGTATAAACAAAAAGCATTCCATCAACTTGTTGCATCCTTCACCAACGCCTTTCTTTTCCCGAAGACACCTTGATTGACAAGGTTGCCACGCCCATTGTGTTATGACTGAAACTGAAGGACGTGACTCCTCTATAAATCACCGATTTCAGCCTGAATCGTTGGGATTGATGAGGATAAGGAACAAGATAAAGGGCGGTTGCAGCCTCGCCTTGAATCCAGAGATATCCTGCCAAGAAAATGGCCATGGCTACCTGTTTGACATCGAGCCATGGCTGCACTCGAAAGTGAATGTTCAGATTTGCACTGGTTGGTTTTTCTCCCTTAATCTTTTCCCATAAACTTGGTATATCTACAGCTGCCCAGATGTACTGCGAGCTGAAACATTCAACACAAAGATGCCTGCCATACTGCCGGTGTGCAGCATTCATCTCCTGCATCGCATCGCCTGATTTGTGGCAGGGCAGTGCCTTGGTGTGTCTCTTGACAAATGGCACATCCCTTTTGCCTGACACTTTTCCCTTCATGAGCAGGTGGAAATCCTGACTCAAACACCCTTTTGTCTGACATGACGACGGTCATCTGCCTTGATGACTACCACTGCCTGGACCGTTTTGGCCGCAAGGAAAAGAATGTCACTGCGCTGGCACCCGAAGCACAGAACTTTGACCTCATGGCTGAGCAGATCCAGGCCATCAGGGATGGTAAGGCGATTCAGAAGCCCATCTACAACCATGTGACTGGATTGATCGACCCACCAGAGGAGATCGCCCCTCCCAAGGTAAGACCAAAAGGCAGCATGCCATTTGTATTTCAGTATGGGTGCTTAATGTGCTGCATCTGTTTGCAGGCGTTCTATGTGTATTGAGATCACCATTAAGAACTTTGAATTGCAATGATCCAAGACGTGTTTCTGTGTGTGTGCTCTATGTGCATCACTGCTGTATGTCCATGCAGATCAACGAAAGCCTTATCAGCCATTCTGTTTGCAGATCTATGTAATTGAGGGACTCCATCCATTCTATGACGAGCGCGTTCGGGATCTCCTGGACTTCAGCATTTACCTGGACGTTTCTGATGAAGTCAAGTTCGCATGGAAGATCCAGCGTGACATGGCTGAACGAGGGCACAGCCTTGAGACGATCAAGGCATCCATTGAGTCAAGGAAACCAGATTTCAATGCTTACATCGATCCACAAAAGCAGTATGCAGACATGGTCATTGAGGTGAGGAATTATTATGTATAATCCACAGCTGACGATCTGGGCAGCCAATAGTAATGATGGCAGTGCCCAGTGTTGGATCAAGGTAGCTGTGCTATTTTCCACACATGGAGACATCCTGAATCGAGCACAAGCCCCTGAGCTTTGAATATCTGAGAATCTATGCGCAGGCCACTAGCTCCTCCTGTTGCAATTATGAGCCAGTTACTTTCTTTCGTGCTGAGAGAATGTGGCATTCCCAGCCAATCAGGTGTTATGTCAGCAGCGATGTTTCTATAACTTCACCCTACGCTTGTTTCTATATCTTCACCCTACGCTTGATACCCATCAGGTGCTGCCAACCCAGCTGATCCCTGACGATGAGGAGAAGAAGGTCTTGCGGGTACGACTCATCCAGAAGGAGGGCAATGATAATTTTGACCCTCTGTACCTCTTCGATGAGGGCTCCACCATCTCATGGATCCCCTGTGGAAGGAAGCTGACCTGCTCATTCCCTGGAATTAAGTTTTTCTACGGACCCGACACTTATTTCGACGAGGAGGTGAGAGCTCTTGGCTGGTGGACCCTGTACACCAGCAGTGAGGCGAATGCATTGGACCCATGGGTCTAGAAACATTAACAGTGCTTTCTGTGTGTTGCATAGGGGTCATGAAAAGGATACTTTGCTGTGCCTGTGACGCCTAACCAGTGGCTGCTCTTCTCACTTGCAGACTCCTCACTTGAAAGTCTGTGCCACTTTGTGCAGCCCATGCTGGTTGCTTGTTTGCTGAAATTCTTGCTGCGATCCAGGTGTCAGTGGTAGAGATGGATGGCCAGTTTGACAAGCTTGAGGAGCTCATTTACGTGGAGAGCCACCTGAGTGGCACCTCCTCCAAGTTCTATGGCGAGATCACGCAGCAGATGCTGAAAAACTCAGGTTTCCCAGGCTCCAAGAATGGGACTGGCCTGTTCCAGACCATCGTCGGCCTGAAGATTCGTGAGGTGTATGAACGTGTGGCCCAGAAGCAGGTCATGCCAATCACCTAGGGAGGATGAACGTGGAATGGCCGGGATTTGCAGGCCCATTTTGGCGGCTTGTTTTGGCAGCGTTTCGCTTGCAGGAATTACCAGTGGCGTTCTGAATGGAGCCTACTGGTTCTTCATTGCCATTATTTTGGAACCACAAGGGATTCATAACGGGAAATCAGCACATGTCGTCAAGGTTCTTGGGGCTATATGTTGAAAGTTGGAGGGAGAGCCGGCACCAAGATGGAGGCTGGGGGCCAAGGCTGTCAGAAGTGATAAGCGCATTGTTTTGAGATCGCACATGTGGCCCAGTGTACAGTTTTGGTCAGTCGAATGAGGAGAAAATCTGTGTGTGCACATGGTCACCAATTGTACCAATCGGCTTCTATTTTGCATTGCACTCCACATGCTTTCGGGGAAAATTGCTCCATGGAGCTGGCGCTGATGATTCACTGTTGGCAGAACTATGCACGGTGGTCCGAAGCCAATTTAAAACTCATTTTCTTTTTGAGGAACACCGGCTTCATGAACACCATGCTGAGCGTGCACAAAAAATGTGTAGCTGGCAGCGTCTGACACTTCTGTTCCGAGGCGTATGCGGCAGCGAAACGTTACAAGTATGATCATGTGCCAAGAATACAGTCTCAATCGCCTGGAACTTGGAAAAGTGCAAATCGGCGGGGCAGCCATGTCGAGATATTGTCCACTTGAAGTGTGCGGGAACCACTCTTCCGATTGATGACGACCTCAGTGCCAGCCGCGTTAAACATTGTCAAAGGCGCACCAAAGCGTGGGGTTGGCGTTTGGTGATGAATTACTGGCGCAGGAGATTCTGGCTGCAAGAGGAAGCTTGGCATTGCCGTTTGAACAATTCACCCTTCCGCACGATTTGCTGAACTGTGTCCTCCAGAACACGAGCCCTTTCCAGCAGCTTCGGGTGCGCAAATTAAGAAGGCTCAAGATAACGATCCGAGAGCAAGTCCGCCCTTGAACCAGTCGGACTTCTCCTTTGCGACGAGCGCTTGCCGATTGAACGTGCATTGTGTCTCGTCAGATATTCGATTGCACCCCGTTGTCCAGTACCATGCGCATACTCTCGTTGTCTTGCCAAGACAGTCACGCCCTGCCATTCCTTAAGTATGCACAGCAAAAAATTGGCTTAAGGCTTTCGAGGAGGTTTCTCTTCCCTTTCCCCTCCTCACCCCACGTGCGCTCACCCCATTCCAGGTAAGGGGGGCTTTGTACAGAGCGTACTATTCCGACGTGATCAAAGCCAGCGAGCTCCGGTGCAAACTGGACAGCGGCGCGTGGCGCTGGACTGCTGTGATCAGTGCGCTGGACTGCCCTGCGGGACAGCGGCCCTGGAGGCGGCGCAACGGGCGCCCGCTTTTACGACGACCACAGCGCCTGGCTGCTGCCCGACAGAACGGCTCCCAGATACACGCAAAACGACAGCTTGCAGCTCGTGGTGCGAGAGTGTGCGGACACGCGCAGTTCGAGACGACTTCCTCCCTGACGTCTCCGATTCGGGCGGCCGAGTTCCGGGCGGGCGCAGCTGCCAGATTGGCACCCCGCTCGCCCAGCGCTGCGAACTGGATATCAACGGGCCTCCCAGCCGATGCGGCGCCTATTTGTGCCTTTCAACTGAGTCCGCCCTTCGACTTCAACCTCCCCACGCACTCACAGCCCAGCACCGCCGCAGCGGCTGCGCCTGGCATGCAGACCACAGCGGTTGCGTTCGTGTGGTGCCTCTTGGCGTCCCTCCGGGCTTGTGCTTCAGGTCGGTGAGTGGCCAAACTGGCCAGCCTCGGCTTTGGGGCCACATCTCTGCCGCGCAAATGGCGGATTTGACCGCTGTCGTCGAGTCAGCGACGGCGACTGCTGCTGGAGAGGCACTTAAGCCCTTGAGTGAAGCTGCGCTTTCTGAGCAATGTTGGGCTCGCCCGGTAGCGGGGGCTCAAGGGGAGCGGGCTGCGCCTGGAGGTGGTGTCATTATTCATGTTTTAGACATCTCCATCCACGAGAATGATTGAGCGTTGGGTCTGCCACCTGTGGTTGGTAACGCCCACATTGTCGTCAACCGCAACAACGGTTCAACCATATTTAAATACACAAATGCGGTTGACCCTTTGTTGCTACTGAATGCAAATTTGAATTCGGGGTTCCTTTTAGTTTGGGAAAGTCATCTACCTGATTCTGCTATGTTGCATCCATGGTATTTATCCTATCGCAAGTCTTGCAGGCCGAGCAACAATGATGTTCTGGGCACAATGGCTGAAAAAACTCTTAGTCAAATCTCTTGATGGTGCTGTATCGTCCCTCCTCTTACTTCCGTAACGTCAATGCCCTTAAGCGTTGAGTTCGCAACGTTGGCTCACAATTGACGGCCTTAGATGGACAAAACGAAGCACGAAAGCCATGCATCATGTCTTACTCTAATATGCCCAATGCCCATAACACTGGAACAACCGTTTCACCACCAAGCCACCCAATCATCTTAATAGCCGTAACATCTGACACCCACCCCAGTGAGCCAGATAACGGAATCGGTGGCCATTGTGCATGCATTTGCTGCGCAGCTAATTTCAAACACGCGGCGCAAAATGTTCTTGAAGTCAATGTGGCTGGCGCCATCTCGTTTATTTTCATGTCTGTTTGTAACGACAAGCCAGCAACGCCGTGCAACGGCGCTCAATTTCGACCTAATATACGCCTTGATAATCTTCATTATTCGCTTTTGGAGTAGTCATGGAGCCCCTCGACTCTGTCATGCCGATGAAAATTAAGAGAAAGGTCTTTACAAGGGGATCCCTATCTCACGACCTGTTTTAGGAAATGCCTTCTTCGCGCTTTTCCACGTTGCCGCATTGGCTTGGATACAATCTCGTGCCGTCCACGACTTCGCTAACATGGCTCCTCGAGTCGCGCACGGCGCCTGTGTCTGTGTCGACGCCAAAGCTGATGCCCCGTAAAGGCCGACGCAGCTCGCTAACATCCACAGCGTGTGGCTCGCAGCTGAAGGGGAAGGAAACTGCACATTGGAGATTGGCGTTGACTTCTTTGGGTCTGACATCAACAACGGAAACAGCCTTGCAACAGAAACTGCTAACAGCTGCTGTGAGGAATGCTTGGCAAATCCAGGTGATGAGGTGGACTCCAGTGTTACCACAGACTTCCAGAACATGGCATCAAGCACGTTTACACCCAGCCGGTTGGCTCCATGACATCTCGAGGCAATTGATCCTGCCACGCCTGGTTTTTGCGCCGCAAGAACTGATGGTATTTGCGTTTTTATGCCCGAAATATTTTTTACGTTTTTACGCTAAAAATTCCGTAAAATACGTAAATACAATGTAAATACAGCCCCGTGTACATAAGGACAGTACATACAGACCCATGGAGTCCTGGGAGTGTCAGCCAGATGCCCTGGAAGGGGCAGAAAACGAGCTTTCGTTACACGCCATCGTCGCCCTTGCCAAGGGCGAGGTGAATATTGTGTTGCCGGTGCTGGAGGTCGTGGAGGACTGATCATTGTACACGGCTTTCATCGTGCAACTTGGGTGTCCCCGGAAGCCGTTAGAACGTAAAAATAGGCCCTTTCGCAAACTCATGCTTTTGCGCCAAAAAGCATAAACGCAAACGTAAACGTAGAAAACAAGCCTGGGCTCTGCAAAATACAGTCCATGCTTTCAATGAACGTTCGCTGTCGCTGGTGCATGCTAACACTGGGGAGTGAGCCACACCATAGAGCCCAACTGTGCATATTTAATGCGGGAAACGGATGATCTATTGGAGCCAAAAGAGCAAGAGCTCCAGTCTGGAGCCTCCATGATAGGCGCTCTGCCCCCAAATTATGTCATGGCAGTGATTGCTGGAGAGTGGGACTTATCCAATATTTTCTAACGGCATGTCTCTTTTCCTTGATAGTTTGCTTAGGTTGGAGCAGGGTGAGGAACACTGGAGCCTGCTGGCTGAAGGGTAGCATTCCAGCACGCAGCAACCGCGCAACAGTGGATAGCGGGATAGTGAGACTCACAAGAGTGACCGTCACTCGCTCGGCAGGTGGAATATTGCACGCAAAGATAGGGCATTTGTGTACACGGGAGTAGCGGAAGTCAATGTTTATAGCTGTGCAAATCTCAGATGTGTTGGTTGCATGATTGCTGCAGTGGTCGGCAGCTGCGCGCGAGCAGTTACAACAAATGTGGTTTTTGCTTCATCTCAGCTCTCTCACGTGATCATGCAGTGCCCGTCTTTTATTGGGATGACGCGGATTCGCAGATCTCCTCGCGCTGCAGCGCTCATCTACTTCTGGTTATAAGAATATTTTAAAAATTTCTGCCTTGCACGCAATTCAACATCCAATAGCACATTGGTAATAAACGGGCCCGATCCAAAAGCAAATGTTGCAAAAATTTGCGCAGCACACGTGCACATAATTGTAGCATTCGCTAAAGGTGTGTTTGTCCAAACCGCGCCTCAGTTGGTTGTGTTTTACTCTGCAACAACACTGCGCCTTGTTTCTGCCCTACTTCTTGTCCTTTCCAACTGCTGAACTTTCTTTTGTTTTCACAATAATTAGCCTTTGCGGTGGGAGCTTGACTGGCTTCGCATCGAGCTTCAGGAGGATCTGAATTAGGATGAACAGCAACTTACACCTTGGTCCTAGCGATTTCCCAAGCCGTAGTTTCACTCATTGGATTTGCCAAAAATCACAACAGAAGCCTCTTGTGCATTCAAGAGGATGGCATATGCAGGAAGCAACCAAGCAGTGGTTCTCAGATCACCAACAGATCGTCGGACATACCACGATCTTTGAAGTCTCCCAAAACTTTGCAATTTGCCACAATTTCGCAACACAGGAATTGCAGATATGTAAGATATGTATAACGCGGCTTGAATGCTACTGGAAATCAAATCATATTCCTCTTGTGTATATTGATATTCAAGATCTGAGGCGATGAAAAATAATGTCACAACATGTGGCTTTGCTGAATGCGCATTGTGTGATCATTTTGTCT